CTGTCTAGGAGTTGGTCCTGCTTTGGGATTCTAGGCTAGGACCACTTCCCATCTGTGTCCCCTAGAGCTACCCCGAACGCCTGAGGATCCCAGGCTCCACCTTCCTGGCTGGGCCCCTCCCACAGCATCTGGAAATGTTCAGACCCTTCACCGGGGATTGAATACTAAACCGCTCTGAGAATCCAAGGGCAGGGAGCAGGGCTGGGCTACCACTGCCCAGCTGGCCCACCCCCTAACTCCAACTACACACTCCATCTGCCCAATCCCCGCCTTGTCCCTGGCCCCAGCCTTATCCTTGGCCTTAGTCCCTTTGGATTTGGAACCACCGGGGCAGCCAGAGGCGTGTATCTATCTCGCTCCATGCCTTGCCCTGTCCTGAGCCAGCCCTGTGCATCTCATCTCTCTGGCCCACCCATTTGCTGCTCACCTCTACCCAGCCTCCCGGCTTGCTCTCTGCACATCCAGGCTGTAGGCTGATCCTCTAACCAGTCTGACGGCTTTCTCTGATGAGGTGACTTTCATATGGGTACCTGCGGGCTGCTGCTACCTTTCTGTCTGTTGTCAACGCAGAGACGGAGTCCCTCATCTGTTGAGCCCATGTTGGGGAGATTCCTGGGGACATCGAGGCTGTATTTATCGCCTGGCTGGTGATCGCTCTTTTCAGGTGACTGACATGCTTGCCTTGGAGACAGCACCTGTCAGGTGAACTGATGTACCCAGAGAAGGGGTATTATTACCCACAGTACTTCTGGAGCTTTCGTTACTTACAGCAGCCCTGGGCTCTGTCACACCATTGCCCAGCAGGTCCCAACAGCCTGGGAAGCAGGAACCTGATCCCTGACCCTGTAGCTGGTCTGAGGCCATTCTCTCCCTGACCAACCCTATAGATGATGAAGGAATTGGGTGGCTGGGCCTGAAAGATGGGGGGCTGCTATGCCCCTGCCCAGCCCTGTGCCTGGCTAACACCTTGGAGGTGCCTCACGCCTTGTCACCCCTTTCGCTGCCCTGTGGTGTCATCCTGGTCACTTATTGGAGCTGGTGATGAGGCTGCTTGTTTTAAAATAGATTTTATTGTTACTCAGGTAGGAGGAGGGAGACAGATCAGAAGACAACTGCCCTTGAAAAAATCGTTTATTACTCACAGTTCCCAAGAGGGGCACACATGTCACAGGCACATGGACTGGAGTCTGGAGGTAGGGGACAAGGGGAAATTAGAGGCAAGATTGCTTTATCACGGCATGTGTTGCAGCAATGGGAGAGACAGGGGCATGAATAATTGCATCAGGCTTGTGGCCCAGGGGCTGTTCCTCGTTGCTAAGTGCCTGGCCCTGGCATGATCAGGCAGGGGCTGGTAGCCTGGGGTGTGGGAATCTGATGAAGAAAGAGGGTTGCCTGTGGGTTCTGGGTCAGCTGGCTTGCACATGCAGCTGCACTCCCAGGTGAGGCCCTCACTGTCAAGCCCAAGTGCTCAGCAGGCCCCAGGATGGCAGAGCATCAGAAACAGACAAGGAAAACCCTGCTCTGTCGTTCGCTGCTTCTTGGAGAAGGGGGCGAGGCATCACACCCAGCAGTCCAGACTGTCCGGCTCCAGGTGGTAGGGCAGCTCTATGGACTGCCCTCGGAGGCCCATTACCAGTTGAAACCTCCGAGGTACTGAGCATTACCCGGGAGAGGGATGGCCAGATCCCCAACAGATTTCCTGTCCCTACTCCAGGTCCCTCATGGCTGCCATCTCCATGTGGCTTCTGGTTCTTGTGTCTTTTCTTTACCATGTTTGTTTGGAGAGCTTTAGAAATATAAGAAGGGGCTTCAAAAATCCGCAGCCCTACCACGCAAGAGCAATGCTTGTTCCCCGAGCCCCAGGGTCCCTACCTGCTTGTGCTCCCTGGCTGAGCCCGACTGTTTGCGGCACCCAGCTCTTCTGTGGGCCAGGGGCAGATTGTCCCAGGGGAGATGGGACACCATCTTCTTTGACACCAGCCCTTTTCTCTGTGGCTCTTGCTTCCTGTTATGTGGCTGGGGTCTTTTGAGAACATCCAGTCCCTTCCAGTAGCCACTGTATCCCCAGACCCAGCACAAGCCCAGCCACAGAGGCCCCTCGGTACTGTGAAGAAAGGCCTATGTTGCCTGCCTGCCTCCCTGGGGGCCTCACTTGGTACTCTGGCCTTGGCCTCCAGGGAAGCCTCTTCGAGGGCATTTCACGGCTTTGACTGGTCTGTGGCATCTAGTCTTCTAGAGGACGACTGGAAACCTTTCATCACAACGGGACTGAAGCCAAGTCCTGCTTTGGTCCTTTGGTTTCGCGTGTCCCATTTTATGGTCATTTCCTTCTTTTTGTGTGTTTTCCCCCCCTTTTAACTAAAATGATCCATTTATTGCACTAAAGGCTGTGTATTCAGGGCAGCCGGCAGGTGAGCTGCATCATAAGCAATAACGTGAAACAAAGAAATCCGTCTCTTTACATTCCAGAATATTTAATGGCCTATAGACTGTGATGAGCTTTGGGGGGCGTTATTCACTCTTCAGTTGGGGTAACATGGCCTTGATGTGAAACTCGGCGTTTTAACTGTTTTCAGGTGCGCTGCTCAGGGCATCGCGTGTCTGTGCATTATTGTGCAGTCATCTCTGTCATCCATCTGCAGAACTTTTCATCCTCTCAAACTGAAACTTTGTGTCCTTTAAACATCTGCTTCAGCCTCTGGCAGCTGCTACTCTGCTTTCTGTCCTCATGGATGTGACGGCCGTGGAAGGGTGAGATCACACAGCCTTTGTCCTTTTGTGACTGGCCTAGTTCACCCCCCTGTTGTCCACTTTCTGCTCATGATGTTTGGGCTCTCTGTGTTCTCTAGCTGTGGGAAGTAGATGTCCCGTTTTTAATTCCGAGGGCTCACTTCTCAGTTTTCAAAAACACACTTTAATCTCTGGTTCTCCACTTACCAAGCATTTGGTATGAAATCATACTGGTAGTCCCCAACATTGTAGACACTGTCAGGGTTTAGTCAAATCTGTGGCCCTGATTCCTTCTTCACTCCTGTCACTCAGCCAGAAAGTAATGCTGGGGCTGAAAGATGGCTCAGCGGTAAGAGGACCAGGCTCAAATCCCAGCACCCACGTGGTAGCTCTCAGTCACCTACAACTCCAGTTCTAAGGATCTGGCATGACACCCTCTTCTGATCCCCAAGGCACTGCCCGTATGTGATACACAGATATACATACAGGAAAACACCCACACAAATAAATCTGTTTAAAGAAAAGCCATGCTGAGTTATTAGTATATTTGTATTAATTACATGTCCGTGAATTTCCCTGCCCCTGCGAGCACCTTCATTCTGCTGTAAGCCTCAGATTTGTGTGGAGAAGCGTTCCAGGACTGGGTGGATGAAGATCATAGGTTTCTTCCTTTCTTTTTTTTCTTTTTGTTTTTTGTTTGTTTGTTTGTTTGTTTTTCAAGACAGGGTTTCTCTGTGTAGCCCTGACTGTCCTGGAACTTGATTTGTAGACCAGGCTGGTCTCAAACTCACAGAGATCTACATGCCTCAGCATCCCAAGTGCTGGGATTACAGGCGTGTGTCACCACCACCCAAATGAAGATCATAGGTTTCTATATGACCTAACTTACAAGAGTTGTGAGCAGGAATGTGCCTCCAGAACCCCTTCTGCCTTGGTTTAAAAAAATTCAAAAGAAGTCTTTTTATTGCTTTAGTTTAGGTCATGTGACTCCTTCCATCTAATCAATGTGGGCAGGAGTTAAGGTGTTGTGATTGGCTAAGTGTAGACTGGAAGTCTGACCCTGGTTGTCTACTGCAGGGTCAGTCTCCTGGAGGTTAGCCATTGCAACCCTGCAGAGCTGGCAGGCCCGCTGTGTCCACATGAAGTGGCCTAGGAGACAATGTCACGGTGACTCTCTTTTTTTTGTGTAGCTATGACCCAAATCCTTGAGAGAGCAAAGGTTATTATTGGCTCACTTGCAGAGGCTTTAACCTCTGGCAGCTGCTACTCTGCTTTCTGTCCTCATGGATGTGACGGCCGTGGAAGTCTTTGTTCATGGCCCCATGGGCTTGGGCAGAGCATTATGGGAGTGGGAGCAGCTAGGAAGCCGAGAAAGGGCAGGAGACCAGGCCGGGACATGGCCTCAAGGACATCCCTCCTCTGACTGTTTCCTCTGAGTAGACTTTACCCATCCACTAACACCATCACTGAATCCCTCAAGGCTTATATCTGCTCCTTAAGTCAGGGCTCTGGTGACTGAATTGTCTCCCTCATAGGGACACCCAGAATTGGGCTTCACTTCCCCTAGATGTTTCTTAAGCCAATCAGAACTAATTATTATACCCTGTGATTCCAGGTGACAAAACTGGACCCAGAGTAAGAGCAGATTCATGGGATCCTACTGTGAGCTGTTGGGACAGACAGGTGCCAACATGGTAGTACTGACCCCACATAGTGTCAACTCTTTCAGGAAGCCTTCTTGGCTTTACCAAACCAGGCCCAGATTTGGTGGTGACTTCTCCACATCATACCAGAGTGAGACAATGCCCTTGTCTCTGGCCTCAGACAGGTGCTTGGTAAATAGGTACTGGATTCAGCTCGTAGGCCATGCCGCTGGGACCGGACTGGCTCCTTTACCTGCCACCCTCATGTGGATGTTCCTGGCCATGTCTTTGCCTTGTGTTCTAGTCTTCTAGAACCTTCTGCCCACAGGACAAGGCTGTCACTACCCCTCTTGCCTGCGGAAGGGCTGGGTGGGTGCTGCCTCATCAGAGTTAACACAGCACCGATGTAAATTACCAAGTCTAATTGTTTATGGAGCCCTGGAGTGACTGTGGCGTGCGTGGCTGGTGATTCAGGGCCATGTGAGGAGAAGACAGGCTTCTATGTGAGAACTACTGAAATGCCCGTTACAGAGATTTATGCCCATCCTTAAATATTGGAGATTAATTCTTTGAAAACATCTATAAAATAAGAGATTTATACCTAAAACAATACCATACACGGTGACAGGAAGGGATTAGAGTCAATTTATTCATGTATTAGTCAAAAACTCAATTTCATGTATTGTGTAGAAAAATTAAAATCCTTTCTGCATTTTATTACAAATTATGCATTCTCCATATATGGAGATAAATAATTGATAGCATTACAAATACTTAATCTAGAAAATATTTATTAGGAACAGACAACTCATTTTTTAATGTGTTTTGTTGAGGACAATATTGCGCACTTTAAAAAATTAATGACAATTTTTTTTTTGCAAGAAAAAGAATAGACATCCTAATTCTTGTGTTTAGTCTCTTGTCCAGGTCCAGGCAATACGCTGGGTAGAAGGACATGCACACTGTTGGCCTCAGATGAGCTGAAGGGCTCTGGGACCTGGCTCTCTGCCAGTTCCTTGGCTGCAGCCTGGGAGAGGCCTTGGAGAGCACCAACAGACTGTCTTCTTCAAACTCTCTGTGGCTTGCAATTTTAGAATAAGTGTTTCTGACTTAACCTTCGAGAAAGCACCAAGCAATCTGATTTGTGAACGTGCTCGAAGAGCCAAGAAATCAGTGTTCGACAACTCCCAGACTGGAGTGTTGTGGAGCCACGGACGGTCAGAAGGATGGCCTTGTCACTCCTTGCCTTTGGTGGTCCTATGAGGGGGCTCTCAGCCTCCTCCTCAAACTCGTCCGTGCCCTGGGCTCACCCACGCCTCCCACCCCAGGCCTGGCACGAGGGATGCACCTCAGCCTTTTACACCTGTGCCATGATTGGAGTGGTCCTTCCCTGCTCCACGCACTCTGCTCCTGCTTCGTGTGTTGGTGCCGGGGCTGGCAGTTAGTGGGCCCAATGGCAGAGTCTCATTGCCCCATACCAGCCCACCCAGGGGAGCACCTGGGATTGAAGAAATAACTGTCGTGTTTATTAAAATATAAATTTTGTGCCTAACGGAAGTGCTGCTTCTATACATAGAAAAAAACGTTTAAAACAAAAACCAAAACAGTTTTCAAAGGCACCATAGCATTAATTATTCATCTTTCACTAATGAAAACATGCCTTTGGAGGCGGCAGGCTCCCCCTTCTCCACATGGGGGCCTCAGGGCTCCTAGGAAGGCTGGCTCAGAAGGGTAGATAGGGAGCCTGGCTGAGGGGGTCTCTGTATGGCAGGACCCAGGACCCGGGTAGTGGGTAGGTGACTTTGAGTTCCAGTGTCCCTTGAGTGAGGTGTGAGGAGCCACATTTCCCTCGTGTGGGTGCTGGGTCTGTGGGGAGTGTCTGTGCCGGGCTGTTTCAGAGCTCTGGGTGGGTGGGGGCGGGGAGGAAGGAGATAGGCTGACCCGCAGGAGTACCAGTGGACACTGGTCACCAGACAGGCTGGAAGACCAAGGGCTATGAGAGGACAGAGCAGGAAAGGGACAAAGGCTTTAGTTCTGACCAGACCTTCCAGCACAGGGGCAACTCGGTGGCACACCTCTGGGGTGGCCATTTCCTCACGTCCCTACGGCCCACAGTTCTTCCCCGTCCTGGGGGCTTGCAGTTACTTCTCAGGCTCAGTTTTATGAAGTTCAAATCTACAGAAATTGGCTGCCCCAGCTCAGATACCTGAGCAAGAAAGCTTTCTGCCTGAGCAATCCTCCTGGCAGCCTCGGGTTCTTCCTGGCTCCATATTTGTGTCCAGTGACAGACATCTCTTGTATTAGCTGGGATGAGACACCTCCAAATGAGGGCTTTCAAGCAACAGAGAAAGATCCCAGACTAACTTGGGCTTGTCTCTTCTAAGTCACTGGATTCCTAGAAATTCTAGAATCTACTAGGTTCTGAGTGGAAGGAGCTTCTAGGACTTGCATCAAGTTCATTCATGGCGAGTCCCACTCCTACCCAACCCTAAGGTCCAAACTACACACACACAGATGCTGGCCTTAGGGGGCTGACAGGGACAGCCTTAACGTGCTGGGAGAACAGCAGAGGTGCTTCTGTGACCCCCTGGGTCTCCTCCCCTCAGTTCTTACAGCATCCCTGGCCCATCATAAACAGATGTAGTGGGTCTTTGGCACCTGGCCACAAACATCCCAACCTGGTGCTCTATCGTCCTGGCTACAAGGCTGGGGCTAGGGCTGCAGAGCTCCTATCCACAAAACGCTAAACCTCTGCTTCCCATGCTTGGGGTGGTTCCAGGTTTTTGGGTATTTGTTCTCATTCATTCATTCATTCATTCACTCATTCATTCATTCCTACATCCATTCATTCACAAACACTCCCCAATACCCCAGACATGCTCTGGCAAGCAGATATGGGGAGGAAAGCTGCTGAGCCCATCAGTCATCCTTAGCTCAGGGGCCTGGGGAGCTAGAGAGAGCCTCTCTGATCTGCACTGACAGCCCAGGGTGGGGGTGCAGGTGGTATCCAGGGCAACGGATCCCCTGGGAAGAAGATGAGCTGTGCCCTCAGGCAGCAGCAGCAAGAAGGGCCCCAGTGAGGGGCCTTTGAAGCCCTGTCTGCTTGTGGGTGAGGGGCAGAGAAGGACCACTTTGGGTAGGGGGCCAAAGGGGGAGGTTCTCCTGGGTTAGCAAAGTGTCCCTGTCATGGCCTCCTGCGCCAGTGCCTGCCAGGATGTGGAGTTTCTACCAGCTCCTGTCAGGACCTGAACTCACGGTCCTGTGCCTGGTGTCTCTTGGGAGTGAAAGGATCTGGGAGGGACCTGGCTATGGCCATGTGATGGCCCTGTGCAGCTCACTCAGAAGACATGTGGGGCTAGGTTTAACAAGACACCACTGTTCCAGCTACCCTTGTCCCCCCTCCACCCACCAATAGGTCGGACCTCACTGGAAGCATCCCTCAGCGTTATATAGATTTCCTGTCTTGCTGAGGCTGCTGTACCAGCCAGGCGAAGGAGCTGAGGCATTGGCTAGGCCCGGGCGAGGATGGGGGCTGCATGGACCCACCCTCCTGACTCCTGTGGGTAGTGCGTCATATGTGGTCTGCTCTACTGCATGGGTATCTGTCTAGCCCAGACCCCACCCTTCACCTACAGGACAGGAGATCAGAGGCCCAGCACCACCTCAGGGCCCTTTTCTTTCTTTCGTTTTTTTTTTTTTTTTTTTGTTTTTCGAGACAGGATTTCACTGTGTAGTTTTTGGTTCCTGTCCTGGAACTCACTCTGTAGACCAGTCTGGCCTCGAACTCACAGAGATCTGCCTGGCTCTGCCTCCCAAGTGCTGGGATTAAAGGGCGTGCTCTACTACTGCCCAGCTTCAGGGCCCTTTTCAAGGCCAGAGTAACAGGAATATAATCTCTGAGCTCAACTGGTATGTCAGGTCCAAGTGTCCTCTTTTGGCAGGTAGTATGCAGGACACTGAATGCTGGTCATACAGCCAGGTGAGAGAGATACACACATTGCTCCTGTGTCTTCCAATGGTACTGAGTCAGATGAAGACAGCTGTGTAACTCTCTGGGTGGGGGAAGGGGGAAACGTCAGGTCCAGAGACCAAAATGGAGGTGAAGGTGCTTATGTTAGCTCAGAAAGGTAGACACATGGGATAGCAGGCAATCATGTACACACATGCCCACATGCACACACGCTTATACGTTTGTACACAAGTGCAGCATACTCATAGACACGTGTACCCATAAGCATCAAAGCAGTATACATAGATGCATGTGTGCATACATGTATACATAAAAGCAGCTTGTTTGCAGAAATACTGTATATATGTAAAGTCAGAGCACAGACAAGCATGCCATTGTCAGTACACTCACAGACACATACATGCTTAGAACATGCTGTGGACCTCACAGCAAGGACAGGAGAGGTTTTAGGTGGGTAGAGCTGGCTGTGAAATACTAACAAATTGGTTCCTGGTAGATAGTCGAAGGGTGGCTGCTAGTTCCTGGCTCTGGGAAGGGGTCTGTGAGGGGCCATGCCCACTGTGTAGCTGGCAGGAGCTGGGGGGCACAGTGGGGCTCTGCAGCATGGGCCTCAAGGCAGAGCTTGGCTGGGTGAGCACAGGTTCTGAAAACGCCCTCATATCCCACAGTGCTTAGACATGGGGCCAGATCCTTGAGTTGCAAGTAGGAGATGGGCTTAAGCTCCCTCGGCCTGGCTGAAGTTCCAGTAAGGGATTGAGTGGGACCTGTCATGCCCTGGAGGAAAATGCGACCCTCTATTTCAAGCCTGATACCTCTGTGATCTCCACAGTTGTCCAGGCTGGAGCAGCTTAAGGCCTTCCAGCCTGGCATGGGAGCTCCTGGGGAGCGGCCTCTAGCTGTACCGAGAAGGGAACTGCTCTGCTGTTAAAACAATTTATTTTACTCTTCAGGAAGCTACTAGCTGTTTACAGTCAGCATGGGGGAGCTGCCTCTTGGGTGATGGATGCAGCCAGCCTTTGGTTGCCATGAGGAAGGGCTGTCTTGAGTCAGTGTGGGGCAGGCAGAGCGGGCTGCTGAGGCAGGACCACAGTCCCCCTAGCCACATCTGTGTCCCTTCGGCCTCTGTCACTGGCACTCTGGGAGAGAGCAGTAGTCTGCAATGTGTGAGGTTGCCGCGGAGTGAGCAGGCTGGCAGGGTAAGGGCCACTAAGGAGGAGCTGGGTGTGGAGGCAGAGGAGGTTGAAGAGGCCTTGTGGGGATGGACTCAGGGAGCAGGTAGAAAGGACAGGGAGGAACCAGCTAGGCAAAGACCCAGAGGGGTGCTGGGGATGCCAAGGGGGCCAGTGTTTGGACGCCCTGACCCTCCCCAGCTCAGCCCTGTCCAGAGAAGGCAGTACAGAGTCTCCTTCGGCCAAATGCACACACAGTACACACTTGCTCCATCTGAAACAACGGCGCAGGGGCCTGCAAGACGGACCGCTGCCAGCAGCACCGTCGTAAAGCCTGGAGACCCGGGTTTGGTCCCCAGGACCCACGTGACGGCAAAAGAGAACCAACCACTGCAAGTCGTCCTCTGACTACACACACACTGTGGCACCTGAGGAACTGGTCAGAGATTCTCTGCGAACTCCCACCACTGAGAACCCTCCCAGCCACCATACCACCCAGAACAGCGGTTCTCAACCAGAGGTTGAATGGTCTCTTCACAGGGGTTGCCTAAGACCATCAGAAAACACAGATATTTACATTATGATTCATAACGGTAGCAAAATTACAGTTATGAAGTAGCGATGAAAATAATTTTATGGTTGGGTCACCACATGAGGAACTGTGTTAAAGGGTCGCGGAGTTAGGAAAGTTGAGAACCACTGATCTAGAAGTCCTGACCAGGCCATTATGAAGTCCTGACCAGGCCATTATGGGGCCTGAGCCTGGAGGTTGGAAGGACAAAATCAGGGCCTTCAGCTACTCATTGCCTCAAGACCCCACTTTCTGGTAAAAAGAATTCAGGTCCCTGCTTTGATGGGAGAAGTAGAGTCTGCCAGGCAGGCAGGGCTGCCGTGGCTCCCTGGCCTGACATCTTCCCTCTGCACACGTGTCTTATCCCCAGGAGGCCCACAGGGGTGAGGAAGAGGATGGCTGGACTTCTGAGAGTCCCTGGTGGTGCAGCTGTCCCCTCTACAAGCCCCAAATCCCTTGTAGATGCTTCTGATGACCACAGCTGGTCCCCTCCTGCCACATCACAAGGTGCCCATCACCAGGATGACTATTTCTGGATGATTTTTGTCCTAATCCCAGCAGGGGTCTCAACTCTTGGACAGGAGCCTTGTTTCTGAACTTTCTCACCATGTTGTGGGCCAGCATGGGGTCACTGCCCACTTCCAGAGTCTGACTTGATGTGGCTACTTCTCCAGGCTAGGCCTGCACTCCTCTGAAGTCTACAGCTTAGGTACTGTCCAGTAGGCTGGGGTTTGCCAGTCTCAGCAGCAGCAGCAGCTTCTAATTCTAATGTAAGTGGTGGTAATCATCACACAGTAGAAAAGAGCTTTGAGCTGGGGCTGCAGAGATTCTGCTGCCGGAGCATTCTGATAACAGGGACCCCAAGGTCAGGCTGTATACTGCCAGAGAAGAAGGCCAAGGCTGCTGAATCTCCTAAGCCTTAGGGTGGTTTCCTCATCAGACCACAACAGGGATGAAACTGACCTATGTCCCTGTAGATGGGAGGTTGCAAAGTGGGGTCCGTCTTTTTACCCATCTTCATGGACTCAGAGGTGAAGGCCAGCAGCATCTGGAGAGGACAATAAATTCTAGCACAAGGTTGCTTTCTGGAACTAGCATGTCAGAGGAATGCCTTCTTAAGCAGCCAGGTATTCATGAAAGAAGCTGGGGTCCTAGAGACTGGGACCCATCATAGGAACCCCAACCAGGAGCTATGCTTGGGTGAGGGTCCTGGGTTGATGGAGTCCAGGCTGGGTTTAGGACAGGCTGCTTGGTAACAGAAGGAAGTCATATATGAAGGGGTCTAGGTAATAATTAGGCTTGGCCAGGGGGCACATGCTGGGGGAACCCCAAAATATATCAAGTGTGTTGAAATCGGGATGGTTAGATGGTTTAGTGATTTGTGTACTGCTCTCCCAGGGAGCATGGGTTCAGGTCCCAGCATCCACATCACATGGTTTAGAACTACCTGTAACTTCTGGCATCCTTGGCTACCTATATTTATGTGTACACATACAGAGAGAGAGAGAGAGAGAGAGAGAGAGAGAGAGAGAGAGAGAGAGAGAGAGAGATACACACACAGACACACACACAAATAAATGATCTTTAAAAACCGTTGAAATCTCAGCCCCAAGAGATGGGAATCTTGGCAACAGGAGGCAGGTGCTAGAATTGCCCAAACATAGCATGTGCCTGGCCCTGGTCCTGGCCTTTATAGATTGTGACTAGAGCCCAGTCTCCTGGCACCGTGGAGACAGGGTCTCAGGGCCTAAGCAAGTATAGGAGTTTCTCAACCTGGAGCCTCCATCCTTGCTGGTTTCACTGAGGTTGTCACTATTACCTCATGTTGAAAGGGTAAGAACTAAGTCTCAAAGAGGGGACATGACCATCAAGAATGCCAGGAGCAGATGGCCAGCCAGATGCACCTGTCTATCTGGACTACGCCTCTCCTCTTGGCCTTGACAGTCTCTCTGAGTACTGCTCAGTTTGTCTGAAGCCTGTGTTCCAATGGTACCCAGCATAGAAGCCACCCAGGGCACTGGCTTAGCGGGCTGGACTCATGTTAACAGGGAACCAGACTGTGTGGACCAGGTGGGTGGAGCTGAGAGGAGATAGTTCTGGGTCAGGAAACCCTTTGGAGTCCTGCAGCTTCCGAAGGTAGGTTATCTGGGCCCTTCTGATCCCGCCACCCAGACTGGCCCAGTCCACTGACAACACACACTGGCTTAGTCCCATGTTGCCTAGCTGGGGCTGGACTCCGAGTCTGGGGAACTGCAGGGTCTGGCCAAGCCTTGGCCTGAGCTAGTGTGGCCATATCCATCTGCCATCCCCATCTGCCCAGGAGCAATCCTTACTGTACCTACTGGAGGGCCCCCAGGGGCTGGGAGCTATTTCAGCTGCTCCAGCTTCTCTATAACCGCTAGGATTCAAAGAGAAGATTGTGCCAACGTCAACAGAATGAGAATGAGAACAAGACAGCCGCGTGGCACTCTGTCAGGGAGAATGCCCAATTAGGAGGGTAGCTGTGGGGGCAGGGCGTGCTGGGCCTATGACACAGGGAATTCTTGGGTCCAGGAAGGTTACGCACAGCTTGGGTTTCACAGCATTGCCCAGTGGAGACAAAGAGAGGTGGCCCAGGAAGTCCACCTGCAGGCATGCTGGATGCAGAACTCAGCTTGCCACCCAGCAACATCAGAGGCACCCGAAGTGTGCACTGGAAGCCGGGCCCACCTCGGGTTCTGAGAAGTACATGGGGGAGTGGAAGTGAGGACCCATGCAGGCAGATCATGAAGGCTCTGCCACAGTGCAGGCATCCATGCAGGCAGATCATGAAGGCTCCGCCACAGTGCAGGCAACCATGTGGGTCTAAGGCACAAATTTACCACATAGAGATTTGGGGTTGGGTGCTGTATGTGATGTCCCAGGCGAGACCTGGGAGTTCCTCAACTCACAAACCCCAATTACAGGTGCATTTCACTCTCTTTCGGGCCTAGTGTGCAGAGGAGGGACATATATAGCCTGCAGCTTGGGGCCTAGAAAGGAGACTTCAAAACAGATCTCTCTCAGTGACTAATCTTCTCTTCTGCCAATTCAGGCCTCTGGAACTATCTGGAGATGTATGATAGTGAAGTGGATGGGGGGGGGGGAACTGCTCAGTCATTGCCTGACCCCAGAACCTTTCCCCCCTGGAGCTGGTCCCTAGGGTCTGAGGATCTGGCATGGGTCCCAGGAAGCAGGCTGCGGGGTCTCAACAACCAGGCCAGACCCTAGGACCCTGTGGATTCCCCTTCCCTATGGATTAACATCTGGCCTGGGCCCAGGTTCCCTACGGTGCTAGCAAACAGTCAGCTTCTGGGAAGTGGGTTCCTGGAGGACATGACAAATTCCACAGGCGGCTACTGAGGGCCCATGTGAAGGTCTAACCATTGGGTGCATGCCTGGGCCTGTCTAGACTGAAGCAACTGCAGAAGAGGCAGTGGGGGTGAGCAGAGACAAGAGCCAAAGTTAGGAGCACCTATGGACAGCGGAGTCTAAGGGGCGGAGGCTTCCGCTGCTCCCATCAGGGGTCAGGTCTGTGGGTAAGAGCCTGGTGGTGTCCTGGGTGCTGGGAAGAGTCTCCTTGTGTTATCTGCCAGGCATACGACAGAGCCAGAGCTGGGGCTTCCTCCCTCAGTGGACGGGTGGTCACAGCCTCCAGCCTGGGTTCCAGGAGGAAGCACAGGCAGGACGTTCTGCTAGGTGCTGCTGACCCTGAGACACACACAAGCTGGAACGGAAGGAAGAGGGTGGCTGGGACCCGAGGCCAGCGAAAGGAGACTTCATGGGTTGTGGGGGTCCACCAAGGAGGTCCTCACAGTGGGCAGCCCCACACAGAGGCGACCCCCTCCCAGGAGGTGCCACCTCCGCAGGCTTCAGAAGGCGGGTCTGCACCCCCATGCATGCCCTGTTGCAGGGTCTGTCAGTGAACTGGGCCCACTCCTAAAGTAACACCCTTTCTCTACACATCACCCTTGGGCCACCTCACTCCAGAAGTAAGCTCAGCTCCCCCTAGTCCCAGAGTCCGTAGCTGGGTCTGGAGCCTGGGCCGCCCTAAGGAGGTGAGGGACTGCGGGGCTGAGCCCCTTTCCTTGGGGTGAAGTCCAGCAACGCTTGGGGTCCCTGTAGTGGGGGACAGCCAAGCAGGAGGATATGGAAGACAAGATGGCATTGGTGAAGGTCCAGGTGCCATGAAGGCTCAGGGGAGGATGGGTGGAACCTTCCAGATGGTTCTAGGCACTCCCACCCTGGCTTTGTCCACCTAAAGCTGTGGAACTGACAGGTGGGGGCGTTGCTCCATTTCCTGTTTGGGCCTCACAAAGCTCCGTGCACTCTCATGGTAAAGTAGGGAGGTGCCAGGGACCAGGGTGACAGGATCAGGGTCCTGAGCCCTTCTTCCTTCACTCTTCTTCATGCTGGCCAGCCTCAGGTTGTCCTCTTCCCCCGTGTTGATGCAGACCTGTCCCCAGGTCCCACGAGACGTCCTCTTTAGTATCACTGCTTCCATTGGCTTTGTAAGGCAAGTCCTGCATCTCTGAGCTGCTCTTGCTTCATATATGGTGAGCCAGGGCCAGTGGGAGGCAGGAAGCACATCATAGCTGTGCTATGATGGCTGGCACAGCTTCTTGGCAGTCTGGCACAGTTGCTGGGCAAGGAAATCCAGGACCCCAGACCCTGAGCCATGAGCATGCAGGATCCTGCCTTTCGACCTGCTTTACGGGCAGGTCTTGCTCTGTTTCCCTCACCAAAGGCCCACTGGGCTGAGAGTGAATGGCTCACCATTTGCTCCCTAGAACGCAGAAGGTGCTCTCTGCCTGATCTACCTCTTGGAGCCTCTCCAGTGCTGGCCTAGACTCGAAGACTACCCAGTCCCAGCACCCTGGCCTTGTGAGCCTTGCCTTCAGGTTCAGTTCTCAGAACTGAGACTGGAGTAGGGCAACCCTCACTTTACCAGCCCGGGAGGGGATGGGGGGGGGGGTCTGTGTCCGCTAAGTGCAGCAACTCCAGGGAGGGAGCTTTGCTAGTCTGCTTCCCCTCACAGTTGTCTGTCTGTCCCTGTGGCCTCTAAGCCGGCTGTGTTTCTGTCCTTCTGCTGGCTGGGGGCGGGGGCTGTACCTGTGGGTATACAAGTGGGTTAGTGAAGGACCCCTTAAGTCCCTTGGTGGAGGGGTGAGGGGTGGTGATGGTGACTCCGGGTGGTATTTGCATTGACTCCTCCGGGCTGGCCGAGGTGCCAGGCTGCCTCAGTGGTAAGTGGCAGGTACACTAGGCGTGGCCCACTCCTGCTGGGTAGTGCTGAATTTAAGGTGTTTGCTCCCTGAGATTAGCCTGTACAGAGTAACCCCACAGAGGTGCTGACAGCCGCAGTCAGCTGCTGGCCTGAGTTCGGGGAGTGGGCTGCGTGCAACTTCTCTCCTCTCGTCCAACCCCCAAGTGCAGCTGCCCTGACTCACCCGGGCAGGGGGAGTGGCACCATCCGTGGACCTCATTCAGATGCCAACCCAGTGGTGGGGTCAAGAGGGGTCCAAGGAGTCACTCTCAAAGGCTTTCTGGAGGGTGGCGGAGGGCCCGCAGCACAACTCCCTAGGCTGGAGTCCCTACTGTGGTCGAGGACCTAGGGCCAACTTGTCCCTCTACAGGTCTGGAGGGTTTCTTGTGTGGAACTGGGAAAGACAGGGTCCTGGAAGGTACTGGCTGGGGATGAGATGGCATGAAGGCCGTGGCCACTCCGTGAGAGCGGAGCCTTTGAGGGAGAAACAGGGAAGGGCTAGTCAATGGAATAGACGGCAGGTGGACAGATGGACAGACCACAAGCTTGCATGATAGTTAGAGGAAGCAGAGGGAGGGTGCAGCTGTAATCAGGCTGACAGGTAACAGCAGCAAGATGGGCAGAGAGGACGGCATGGGAGCCGGGGCGGGCTGGCCAGAAAGCCTCAAGATGAAGCTGCAGCCCTAGGGAGGGCACCTAAGCAGAGTCCCTGAGCGCCTGAGACCCAAACCTCTTACACCCTCTGCCTAGCAGCGTGCCAACGGCCGCCCAGAAACCCACAGCTCGGCCAGGGGCACAAGTTCCGCCCTCTTATCTCTGCCCTCCCCTCCCCTCCCTCCTCCATCATTTTTCAAAAATAATTGTGAGGTAACCATCAGACAGTGGCTGGGCCTTGCCCCAGAACCCGGGCCCCAGATGGCTGGCTCAGTTCGGTGTCCCCAGATCCTCACAGGGTAGCCTAGCTGGCAGCTGGGTGTAGAGTTCGCCCTGCGAGGTCTTCATCCTTCTCTAATTGCCCACGTTTTCTTCTCTCCTCTGTCAGCAGCTCTGCAAAGCCTTGGCGGCATCATTAATGCAACTGGAGTGCTCTGGTGTGAGGAGGGGGCTGCCCGGCTGACGCGCCTCTTCCCGCCCTGAGATGGATGTTCCTTTATTGCCCATAAATCTCTGCACAGTTCTCTGTAAAGACAAATAGGAGGCCTCCTAGTCCCTCGTGTTTGTTGGGCTGGTCGGCGGTGGGTTTAATGAGGCCTCAGCACGCACAGGAGCAGCTCTGGAGAACTGAGGGGCAGACCACACCACGCTGGGTCTGCAGTGGAGCAGTCCTCTGCCCTCTTGCTTTGTCTAGGAGAACTGAGGCTGGTCCACATGAGAGCATAATATGCTACTCCTCCCTCACACATGCGGGACCTGCAGCGTGGCCCGCTCTTGCCCATCTAGCCCTGCAGCAGCCCAGGTCTGTGCTTGCCTGAGCAACCTCAAGCAGTGCCTGTCAGCCCTCAGGAAGCCTTCCTTCCTGTGGCTTCCTTTGGAACACAGTCAGTGCCTAACAGAGGCATGAACCAGCCAGATGCCTAGATGAATGGGGCCCTGCCTCTTCCGCCTGTGCTGAAGCATGAAGGGCATTTCTCCAGGTCCAGGGCCAAGAGGGCAGGGTCCAAAAGGGAGCTGAGTGTCTGCTGATAATGTGCAGCCTGCCAGCCCTCATGTGGAATATGCTATTTGAGCCAGGGAGGTAGGTAGATGTAGGGGTGTTTGTGTGTGTGTGTGTGTGTGTGTGTGTGTGTGTGTGTGTGCGCATGTGGCTCAGGATGTCAAGTGGATTGCCCTGCTAGTGTGCCCACAGAAGTTGAGGTAGGTGTGAGCTGATAGCCTGCTAGGCCCAGTCAGGTTTCCTTCTACCATTTGCTACATGATGTTGGGGGCCCTTGCTCCACTCAAACCTAGAGTGTGAGGGCCAAGAAGACAGGCTATGGGTTGGCCTTGGAGCATGAGAGGCTGTGTGAAGAGGGCTCAGGCAGCATGGAGATGCTGATTTTTTTTTTTTTTTTTTTTTTTTTGGTTTTTCGAGACAGGGTTTCTCTGTGTAGCTTTGCGCCTTTCCTGGAACTCACTTTGTAGACCAGACTGGCCTCGAACTCACAGAGATCCACCTGGCTCTGCCTCCCGAGTGCTGGGATTAAAGGCGTGCGCCACCACTGCCCGGCGAGATGCTGATTTTAAGGCTAAATCCACAGTGGCTTGAGATGACTTTGGGGCCATATGACTAGACAAGTGATTGCAGTGGTCACATGGTCACCATGGCCTAGAGTGTTGTTTTCCTCCCAAATGACATCCCAGGCTGCCCAGCACACGGAGAGAGGTTGATACCTAGAATTCTATGACATTTCTATATTCCAGAACATCCTGGGGGCAAGCTTAAAATCATAGGCACTTATGTAAGCAAGTGTGACCTCAGGTCCATCCCTGTTCAGACATGTCTCTTCATTCCTCTGGCCTTCACACCAGGGATATCAGCAGTGTCCCTGTGGGCCCTGGACATAAGGTTCCCACCCCGTGCTGAGGAGGCAGAGACCTGGGGCTTGGACTGTGGCTAAGGCACAGCCCCCCCACTGTGAGGAGGGGCTCCCCACCTTGCTGCAGCTCCCCTCTGTGCCCAGCCGATCTGACAAAGTCTCACTTCTCCGCAAACATGTTTCTGGCATGTTCTCACTGGACGCTAACTGGACATCAACTGCTGCGTATTCTGCTGCTTCTATTATTTCAGAACTAATTTAAGGATTAAAAAATAATTCTCCCAATTACTGTGCCAAGTCCCACCAGTGAGGTTAATGGGACAGATGCTTCTCTAAGTCCAGCTGTGCAGCCCTGAAGCAGCTTCTGTCTCCTCGGTCTCCGAAGGACCTGCAGGCATACCTCACCACCCTCCTAGGGTCCTGAGTGCCCTTCGGAGATCCCAGCTCTGAGCCCAGAGCCTCAAGTGCTGCTTGCTCTAGACCCATTTCCCAGGGTAGCTACAGTCACTGTGAGCCAGGCTCCAGATGTCAATCTCCAGAAATTATGCCCAGTGGTGTGGCCTTGACAGGGCTTGGGATACTGAGCCAGGTCTGTGAACAGGGAAGGATTTTATCACAGGGAGCCCTGTGGTTGGCCTAGAAACCTTGGAAGGGGGCCAGGTGTGTCCATGGCAAAGCAGTGGGCACCCAAGGGGGGGCTGACACTCTCCACAGTGCTTTCCATGGCTTTAATTAGCTTCCTGCACAAGCCTCAGGGACCCAGAGACCCAGGCTGGACAGTGGCCCAATTGATGCCCAGAACCTTACCTAAGGGAGCCAGCTGAACCAAGTCTAGGTGAGTAGGGATAAAGAGGGGTTAGGGTGGGCCAGAGTGGAGTCCTGGGGCTTTGGCCCAACCCCCACCCCTTCCAGGTCCCTCCCCATCACCGGCCGGTGATCTCATCCATTCCTGGGCTGTAAATATCACCCAAATGCTCACGACTCCCAAATGTGTCCTCCAGCCGGGCCCCTCTCCTGAGCTCAGCCTGCACAGCCCACGCGACACCCCCGCCCAGATGTCTCCTGGGCCTCAACAAGCCTCTCCTCCTAGAACCCCCTCCTCGGGGACAGGCGCCCCTTGCCGGCTGCTTAGGGCAGACGCCTGGGAGCCCTGCCCACCGCCTCCGACCATCCTGTCAAGTCCAACTTGAAACACATCCCCTGCCTTCTGGATCACCCACCCCTCAGGTCTGGCCCTTCCTGTGTGCAGGCCCCACAGTGTATACCACTGCCAGAGGAGCCGTCTCAGAAAATTAGAACCTGCTCACTCCCCCTGAGCCAGTCAAAAAGGATGCATGCTCTCACACATACACACCTCCGACCATTGCCTGCGTACCCTGTCCCCTGCCTCACCCTTAGCCTCCATACCACCCTCATTGATAGCCTGGCTAGACCATTGTCCCCACTCTGTAACATGTCCCAGATTTCCCTCTCTGGGGAGGGGAATGTACAGGGACAAGGGACAGCATGGTCTATAGAGGCAGCACCCAAGTGATGCATCTCCGACTGTTAGCCTGGTTACAGTACAGCAGGTGGTCCCCTGGTAGCCTTCTTTGCCATTACTGGGGGCTGGCTTCCAATGGCCACCTGTGGGCCAGCTGTTGGTAACAGAAACAGAAAGTGGCCTGAGGCAAGACAGTGCCTGTCAGCGCAGAGTAAGCTCAGCATAGGTAGTGAACCCCCTGATCCTAAAGGCATGTGAACTGAGATGGGACCCTCTGTTCTGTAAGCCACCGAAAGTGCCAGTATCTGCTGGACACGTCCAGCTCAGAGCCCCTAAGGTTCTTTGCCAATGGTCCTGACTCACATTTCGGAACACATAGCCTTACCTCCCAGCTCTGCCCCTCCCCTGGACTCAGCAGGCTGGGTTGGTCTTCTCAAATAGGCAGGAGCTCCTTGGGGGTGGGGGGAGTCGATGAAGACCCCTGTCCACCAGGTGCAGGTCAGCAGCCTCCCAGGGTGCTGGGGAGTGCCGATGGTAGCTGTCTCCTTCACAGGCTGTGCATAGAGCTGCCTCTGCCAGGGCTGTGAGGGCAAACAAGGTGTTGGAGGATGCCTACTGAGAGGAGCTGGCAGTCCCTAGGCAAGCAGTGACCTCACCTGTGAGACCTGCTCCAATTGCAGCGTTCCCAGCCTTGGGACAAGCAGTGATGCCCAGGCCTGGAGCTCAGGCCAGCGTCCACTGTGCAGAAGGGCCAACTGCAGGTGTCCGTGTGGACAGCCACATGGGTGTTCGCAGTATCACCAGCAGGCCCAGGCCAGGGGTGGGGGGATTCCTGGAAGAGGCTCCCTGCTGAGGAAAGGCAAAGCCAGACAGGGCCTCAGCACCCTACCTTTGCCCCCGGTCCTTCCTCAGATGGTGACTGTGAGCACATTTCCCCCATCCCAGCCTCCTCCCTGAGTTTCTGGATCCCTGGCCGCCCCCGTGGCCATCTGGCTCCCCCAGTTTCCTCCCCCAGTCCCTGCATTTTCCTCCTCCCTTTCTCCCAGCTCTTGCCCTGTGGGAGAGGCAGACCCCCTTCCTGTACCCCTGACCACTACTTCCACCCACAGTTTTTCTGGCCAAGTGGCTCTCTCCCCTTTGTCTGAGGCTTTTCCAGCTCAGGCCTCAGGGACTCACACATGCATCTTCTTGTCTGTGCCATTTTTAAGCACATGCACACACACGTGTCTGTGAGGCTCTGCTCTGCCATGTGTGTCTGTTATGTGCTCACGTGTGTTCATGGGTGCGTGGATTCTCAAGGGCTGTGGGGTGGTGTGAGGCACCCGGGCATGCGGGCTGTGGCCTGGGGCAGCGATACGAAGGTGCCCACAGTCCTTGCATGGTCTTGAGATCTCCTTTGCAGCCACCCCATTCCTGGTCATTCTCCAGCAATGGGAGCAAGGGCTTTACATCTCACTCGCAGCCTCCTCCTGGGCTGGACAATCCCAGAGTAGATGTGCCCACAAAGTCAGATTGTTCAGAGCTATGCAGGGCTGGGCAGTAGTCAGCCCAGCTTCCAGAGAAGTTGGCTGAGCTCAAGGATGTCAGCTACGGGACAAACGCACCCGTGCAGCTGGAGGATGGCGAGAATGTCACTTCACTCCTGTACGCGGGCCCCCACCCCCACCGCAGCCCAAACTGCCCCACCAGTGAGGGTGGGCAGTTCTATCTCCTCTCAGGCCTTCTGTGCCAGTGTCTGAAGGAGATGCTATGCTGGGACCCACCCTCGTTTCTCACCACCCACAGTACCGCAGCCCAAGAGGCCACAGCATAAGAAAAAAGCTCTTTATTCCGCGTCATCCGATATTTTACACAAGTAAAATAAAATTCATATCTCTATATACCGCAATCCGGGTGGGAGGCGGCGTTCTGGAACAAACGCCACCCCCGGAACCCTGTAAACATGATGGGGTGGAGATGGGGGTGGGTTGGTGGGGAGGCATCTGTCAGGGAGGGCCTGGCCTGCCCCACGGAACCTGTCCCTGGCTCTGGCTGGCGGCATGGAGGGAGACCCCATATGTACACACACCTGGTGGCTGGTGGCTGGTCAGCAGGGCCCGAGCACTGTCCAAAGTACCAGAGCAAGGCCCAGAGGAGCAAGGCTGCAGGCCAGAGCAGGCAGGGCACCTGAACCCTCTGCCTCCCCGGGCCCGCTGCCTCCACTTCCCGCCTGGCCCAGACGGCAGTGGCTGCGGGTGCGATTCTTCCGGGAACAACCTGGCCTCCTGCGGGGACCGGTGGTGGGCAGTCCTGGTGGCTCGGAACCCCCAGGCCGCAGAGCAGTCAGTGGAGGCTCTGCGGAGCTGGGCAAAGTCCCAAACGGAGAGTCATTGATGTGCCGCGGGCCTGAGCCATTGCCTGGCGGGGTGTCACCAGGGGGCACGCGTCCCTTGAGTGCATTACCAGCAGAAGCTGGCCGTCCGGGTTCCAGCACTGAGGCTTTGTCTACAGCGTCCGGCTGGCAGCATTTGGGGAGACTCAGTAGCTCCTCGTCAGTGAGCTGAGTCGTCTGGATGGGGTGGAAGGGCCCTGGAGCCACGACACAGCCCTCTAGGTCACTGGCAGCCAGGCGCTTAAGATCACGGCCAGCCAGGCGTGGGGGCAGGCTGCAGGGCACCTCTGACGAGGAACCTCGGAACTTCTGCAGCCAGGCCCAGAGTGGACGTGCCCGGCAGTCACACACCCAGGGGTTGTCATTGAGTCGCAGGTACTGCAGAGACCTCAGGGGTGCTAGGACCTCTGCGGGTAGCATGGAGAGGTTGTTGGCAAACAGGTAGAGGGTCATGAGCCGGCCAAGGTCCTGGAAGGCATGTGGATGCACACGAGTCACGTGGTTCTGGTGTAAGAGGAGGCGGTCAAGACTGTGCAGGCCACGGAAAGCGTGCTCAGGCACGCTGGGGATACGGTTGCCATGCAGAAAGAGGTGTGTGAGGTTGCCCAGGTCACGAAAGGCATTGTCGGGCAGCGCCTGCAGATTGTTATCTTGTAGGTAGAGGTACTGCAGAGCCACCAGTCCACGGAACAGGCCGGGACCCAGCTCCTGCAGGCCGCATCGATCTAGGTGCAGCGTGTGCAGGTGGCCCAGGCCACGGAAGGTGGTGGGGTCCACGACGCGAAGCTGTGCATTGTCACTGAGGTCTAGTTGCTCCAGGAGGGTCAGGCCAGTGAACGCAGTGGCATCAATCCGGGCCAGTGCATTAGAGTGCAGCCACAGGATAGTAAGATTTCGGCATGAGTGGAAGCTGGCAGCTGGCACATGAGAGATGCGGTTGCCATGCAGGAAGATTCGCTGGCTGGAGGCTGGGATGCCAGTGGGCACAGCCTGAAGGCCTTGTTGGGGGCAGCTTGTTGTCACCTTGGGCTCACTGTAGCACACACAAGCACCAGGACATGGTGCTGCTACCCGCCAGGCCTGTAGCCATAACACCCATGCCAGCAGCCGGCTTCCTGTAGGCAGAGGAAAAGGTGATCAAACCAGGGCCCTAAGAGGTGGGAGCTGATGCTGGAAACAGTTCTCCTGGGTTGGAGTGGGGCTGTAGGACCTCTGCCTTCCATGACATATAGACAATACTGGGCTGAAAGCTGTCCTTGGAGGCACATATGCCACACTGGTGATCAATCATGCCTGCACCCCAAACCCTCATGCCACCCTTCCTCATACACCTGCTGTCATGACTGTGGCACTGTTGTCACCCCCACAGGGTCACTCTAGTCAGTCACCTAAACACGTTTGTGAAGGCCTTCTAGGGTAGCTGCACACACCATCTCAGGACTCCAGGGCACACAGCCCCGGGACCTGGCTGCTGTTTGTCTCCATTGGTCTTAGCCTGATCCTTGGTCTGGCCAACTCAGCCCCACCAGGCTATAGGTTAAGATGGAAAAGGGGAGTCTGAAAAACACCATAGGAACAGCCCGAGACTCATCCCTAGGCCTACCGGGTCCCTTGGCCCAGGCTGTGGAGGAGGGCTGAGGCTCACAATCCATGCCCTGTCCAGGCCCCTACAGCTCTTGATAACCCCTGGAATTATACAGAACCCCCTCATGCCAAAATGGGAGCTATGCTTGAGCCCCTGAAGGGCTTTGTCTGTAGGGTCTCCTGAGGCCTGGGGTAGGTCTCCTTACTAGCTATCTGAGGAGGAGGAGCGGGGAGTGGGGAAGGTGGGGAGGGAGGGCCTCTCCCAGGCCCCCAGGGCAGGCTGCTCCCTCCTCCACACAGCCTCCCTTTTAAGCACTTCCTGACTTGGCTCTGAACACCTTCTGCAGCCTCCTCCCCCGGCCTCATTCTCTGCTCCATCCCTTCCCAGCCTTCCTGCCCATCCCTACCATCCTACTTCCCTGGCAGGCCCCAAGGCATCAGGCCCCATCCTGGTCCCTGGGCCAGATATACCTAGGTGTGGCCAAGGACGAGGGCTGGGGTGCCACATTCCTAGGAAAAAGCTCCTTGGCCTGTCACTAGAGCCCCATTCCTTCCGAATGCCTGCCGAAGGCTCTTTCAGGAGTGAGTCTATTAAAATGTGAATCCCCCTGGGAGGGTTATGGCTTATCAGCTAACACCGTCATTGACAGCTAACACCTGTGTTGACAGCTAACACCTTTCTTGGCAGCTAGCTAAGAGCAGGATTCTGCAGACAGGAGGCCGAGGCTGGCTAACTGCTTGGAGGTGGGAAAAGACCAGGAGCCAGCCTTCCCTACCCAGCCTTGACCTCTGGGGACTGCTACTCCTCCACACTGGGCCCCTTACCACAAAGGGTCCCTGTATGTGGTTCATTTTGGTGCTCAACTCCGGAGCCCCACAGGCCAGGCAAGCCTAACAGCCCAGCAAGCTTTCAGGCTCTGGGAGCCCTCTTCTCACACTCAGTGACTTCGTTCAAGGAGCCTGGGTTTGCTGGGCCTGGGGTCATTTGTTGGCAGTTACGGTGGCAAGTCAGGCCCAGGAGCCCCCAACCCATGGATGCCTGCCCCCTGCCCCGCCCAGGGCTGGCCATGTGTGGGTTGCACTTGGGCCTGAGGCTCTGTCTAAGGAGGCTCTCACATTCTCTTCTTACATGCCCTCCCTGGGACACCCCTTGATGCCTTAACTGCTGTCACAACAGGACACCATACCATGTGCATAGCACTTCCTGGTTCTGACCTCAGAACCCAAGGCTGGATAAGTTGGGGGCTTTCATGCACCCAGGGCCAGGCTGGAGATTTTACTAGCATGGGTGCCTGGGGAGGGGGCACATTATCAGCCCTGCCATGCCACAGACTGCCTATTATGCAGAACACCATGCTGCCAACTGGACCTCACATACACACCAATCTCTGTGCCATCCACCACACCAGTGAGTGGTAGACTGTAGCTCCCAGTCCTGAGGTTGCCCACTGATAGCTCAGCTAGGGTCAGTGGGGGTCCAGGGCTGAGCCACAGTAGGGAGGTGGACAATCGGAGGAGCCGCTATGTGGTGCTCAGCCTTAACAGGCAGACGGGAAGACACAGCTGTGTTCCTGTTGGAAATCAACTTCTAAGAGGCGGCCCTTCTCACTCACCCTGTCAGCACAGGGGCTGGGGTAGGCTCTTCTGCTGTAGCCACAGTAATTGGCTCCAGGCCGGCCCCCCTTGGGGCCTGCCCGCTGGTCTCCATGGCAACCCCTGCGCTGAGCAAGCATGAGGGGGCATCTTTTTATGAGATAATCAAACCCAACTTTGCAGCATAGCTTGTGTTCACAGCAGGGTTTTGGGGAAACACCGGACACCTGACCAGGCGGTAAGGATGTTCCCTGACCCCACCCCAGGGCTGCCATATTCAGTCTCTGTCTGCCGCTTTGCATGGCCTGCTTTGGCTCATCCTTGTGGCTTCTGCAGTGCTTTGAGCCACAGGCCTCTGAACTTCAGGTCTGGACCCCTCCATACTCTGTTTTCACTCCAAAACCTGCCCACAGATTCTCACTGGAGACGGCCTTCCTTCTGGGGAGCAGCCTGGACCTCTTGCTCCCCTGAGGCCTCCACCTGCCACTCTCAACCGGTCTCTTTCATGTTCCCACGGGCAGAAAGTGGTCCTGGGGGTCCATCCCTCTCACATGGAATCCATGCAGAGACCCCGAGGACCCTGCAGTCACTTCAGCAAGTCTTCCAAGCTATGCACAAAGTGGGATTTCTCCAGCTATACCCAAGTCAATTTTCATCAGGCTTGTGAGTGGGTCTCCTCCAGGGCTTTTCCATGGGGAACTCACTGGCTGTTGGAACTGGGTCATGGCCAGTGGCTTAGCTCAGGTCATCTAGGGAGCCACAGGGACATGAGGTGATCGTGGGAAAGAGCTGACATTCTAGTGCACATGGCTTGGAAATTTCCCAGGGAGGGCAATAACTAGATACAGACCCTGGGGTCCTCCTCCACCTGGGGCAGCCTGATCAGGCAGGATACAGCCACTGGGCTACACCGGGCACTCGGCATCCGCACTAACAGCTCTTTGGAGTCAAGAGCCCAGAATCACACCCATTGAAGAGGAAGGAGGGGGATGGGAGAGATGGAAGGAGAGGAAAGAGAACCAGGGAGGAAATAGGAAGCAGAAAGAGGGCAGGGGCAGAGGGAAAGAAGCCAGGGCACCGGAGGATATGAAGAGGGAGAATGGGAACGGGAGGGGCCAGGTGGGGTGGAGGCTTCTGGGGCCCTGCCCAGCAGCCACTTGAGCCAGCAGGCAGGCCTGCTGAGGTCAGCAGCTCACCTCAGCAGCCTGGTGAGCTGCTGGGCTGAGAGTGCCTGCTTTAGCACCTACCCAGCCCGCTGCGTCCCTGCATTCTCTCCACCGCCACCCTAGCCTAGCCTGACATCCCGTGGGGATGTCCTCTTGTCCTCACCTGATGAGGCGAACGAGAGTGTAGGCTGACAGCCTCACAGACTCAGGGCACTGACTTGTGTCCTTGGGTCCTGGTGTCTCTCTCAATGACTACCCCCACAGACTTTGGAGGGAGCCGACCCGCTGGTCCGAAAGCCTCAAGTCAGTGCCACAGAGAATCTCATTCTCTTTCCATCACCATCATCTATTTACAGATCAGGAAACCGAGGCAGTGAGTAGCGGAGCCCTGCTCCTACACGGAGGCAGTTCAAAAGGAAGAGGAGGTGAGGGTGAGGCATGTGCACCTGGAGGGCTGTCAAGGAGAGCCCGGCCAGCTCATGAAGGACAACTGCTATGTGGCCAGGGCAGCCAGCGGGTGCTGGACTTCTGGCCTGCTGGATAGGCCCGGCGGCACAGGGATCTCCCGTGCTACCTACGGCTGGGAGGGTATCTCCTCCGATAGACTGAACCGGAGTCAGGAGGCTGTAGAAGGGGCTGCCTGCTGAGGCAGTGCAGAAGAGACCACAGTTACAAGGCAGAACAGCTCCGCATACAAGACCAGAAATAGCTCTGGGAGGGGGTGGAGGGACCGATGTCATCCCCACACTGCAGAGAATCAAGACACCTTCTCTGGGCCCACTCCCCACAGCCCATCCCTCCTGACCCATCCGTACCCTGTCTTCACTCATTTCTCACACACACACACACTGCCCACCTTCCACCCACCCTTGGGCCCACAGACACGTGCAGTGACAGCTTGCATTCACACTGTGCTTTCTGGGGCAAGAAGATGGCAGCAGCTTCCACAGAGGAAGGCCACCCTGTGTCTCTGGGGGTGTGGTCACCAGCATCTGCTGCCCTGTCCTGGTCCCTTGAGGCCTTGTTTCTTATTGATCTTGACTATAGAGCAAAACAGGCAGGCCAGGTCGATATTGGTAAGGTCACTTACTACGGCCGGCAGATACAAGACTCAAGTTGACGTGCCCCATTGGGGAAACTGAGGCCTGGCATGTGTTCTGGCTGCTGGACGCCATGTTGCAACTGGAGCAGAGCTGTTGGAAATGGTCTTTGACTGCGTCAGGTTATCCTCTTGTCACCAGAGAACTCAGAGAAATTCACCTGCCTCTGCCTCCTGAGTGCTGCAGTTAAGGGCATGCACCACCATGCCCGGCCCTTTCCGTTTTATTGTTGAGACACAGGGACATGAAGCTGCCCAAGCTGTCTTTTAACTTGTGATACTCTTATTTCAGCCTCCCAAGTAGCTGGGATTACAGGTGTGTGCTGCCCATCTCTTCTAGGAATTCATTTTTGGTCCCACTTCCATTACCTAAAGGGCTCCAGAGCCTTACCAGGTTCAGCAATATATTCTACCCTGATTCTCTCCTCCCAGACCCCGCCCTGTGAACTCTGCTCTGCGGGCCGATGGTGCCAAGCATCTGGAGGTTCTGCCTGGCTGAAGCCCACCGAACCTGGAGACTTCAGTGTCCCCTCCCCAACGAGAGGCTAGTGGCCCCCATCAGGTGGCCAGCAAATACCTGCTGCCTAATTACCTGCTTCCCACCCCAGGCCGTTGTGGTCCTGCTGCTAATTCAATCCATCTTCCAGTCCAGACTTCAGTCCCCAGGACACTAATGAGCAACCAACCAATGACTGGCATATCCCTACCATAGGTATCCTATGAAGGAGACCTCCTTAGGCCATAGTCTAAGCCCCAGGACTGCCACATAAATGCCCCTACCCCCTCCTGCCCGTCTGATGCTGCCCTGGATGGAGTGCTTAGCCTGGCAGGTCTATAGTTCTGCCTTCTGTGCCTCATATCTACTTCCAGGACAAGCATCCCAGACTGAGCCCTGGGTCTCCCACCCTATCCCCAAATCCGCTGTTGACCTGTGAGGCCTGGAGTGTCAGCATGTGGGGTAAACACGAGACTTGGGGTGCACGTGGTAGTTATATATACTTGGCCTCAACTGGAAGATAAGAACATATGCTAGAGGACACCCAGTAAGGGTGGGGAGGGCAGACACAGAAATGTGTTGTTAGTACACGTGGTATGCAAAACAGGATGAATGTATTACAGAAGTCAGTATCCTTTGGGCACGGGGCAAACGTGAGTTGGTACAAGGGGGCTGTGCAGACCTTGGGACCTAGAGGAGGGTCTGCTGCCCGCAGCGAGAGGAAGTAGACGACACCTCCCCACATGTTCTTGCATTTGTAAAACATGATCCACCAAGCACGGAGGTGGCCTCTGCCCAGGCCAAACTTACTTTGCCATAAAAAAAAAAATAGTATGTGCGGGTCTTGAGGCCATGGTCAGCTTGCAGCCTCTGGGACCCACCTACTGTGCCTCTTGGCCACTCATCAGGAGGGAAGCAGGCAGACAGGACCCACTGGAGAAGGTCAGTTAATAGAGCCTCTGCACACACCTGCTAAGCTGGGCTGCCCGAGCCTCCAGAGAGCCCTGTCACAGAGGCAGTGGCCGCAGCAGGGCAGGCAGGCAGGGCCAGTGGGAACAAGTATGCCAAGAAGGGGCATACAACCCCTTCAGCTAGATGCTCCCATTGGAATTACCCTCCAAGGCCAGAGCACTGAGTCCATGGAGCTAGAAGAAAGGCTGAGGGGCCCCGGACAACCTGGCCCAAGAGCTGGCTGTTACATTAGGAATAGGGTGATTTTTGGCAAGCAGCCACATTTATGTGTTCACCCACGATCCATGGCTGCTTTCGGTCCACTAATGCTGGCACAATGCATGGTGTGGCCCACAATGCTGGGCCCTCCTACAGGAAGTTTGCTAATCTGCTTTGTGGCTGAACATCTACTGTGTGCAGCCAAGGCTACGCAACCTCCTGACTAAGGAAAAGGAACCCGAGGGTCAAAGAAGACCATTTACTGTTCCCGCCAAACACACGTGGCTGGGCAGGCCAAGCCCAGTGGTCTCTCACCTTAGTGTAGGGTTAGCTCAGAGGAACACTGGAAGGATTGGAGGTCGAGTGTGAAAGGGAAGTAGTGAATACCGAAATTCTGTTTGGGTCATGGAAAATCAAAAATCTTGCTGAAGACACTGTCAGGAGGCAAGAAATTGAGCATGCATAACAGAACACAACTTGGAAATCAAACAGGGAAGCTGAAGCAGGATGTCAGAGTCTAGCCTTGGCTAACAGACATTCACAGTTAAGAACAAAGGACTTGTTATGGGTGAGAATACTTAGCTCAGAAAAGGTGAACGCAGTACTTTTTGATAAACAGGAAGGTCTGGACCACTTCTGATGACCTCAGAACCAGCTACTTATGCAGACCCATGGCCAGGGTCACAAACTGAAAGTGGGCATCTCCGTCATCATCACTAACACTATTGTCACATCACCACCATCATCACTAGGACTGTCACCATCACCATCAGCCGTCATTAACGTCGTAATCACCATCATCACTGTGCCCAGTCATCGCTGTCATTACCACACCACCATCATCATCATCATCATGGTGTGAGTCAGCTTTCTGTCACTGTCACAAAATCTGAGTCCACTTTTTAGGGAGGTCAGGTTTATTTTGGTTCACGGTTTTGGAGGTTTGGGCCCATGGCAAGGCAGAGCATGGCAGATGTGCACAGCAGGGGAGTTGCTCATTTCATGGAATCCAGGAAACAAAAAGAGAAAGAACGAGAAGGGGATGGGGCCTTACATGCTTTCAAGGGCACACACTCAGGAACTTAACTTCTTCCCCTAGAGCCAATCTTCTAAAGAGTTTACCACTTCCCACCATGGACTGGGGCCAGGCGTTCAGTACAAGAACCTCTGGAGGACATTCAGGATCCAGAAGGTAGAAATCAGCACCATCATCACCACCATCATCACCATCAGCACCACTATCACCATCATCATCATCATCATCATCAATCAGCACCACCATCACCACCATCACCATCACCATCACCATCACCATCATCAGTCAGCACCACCATCACCACCATCAGCACCACCATCACCACCATCAGCACCACTACCACCATCATCATCATCAATCAGCACCACCATCACCACCATCAGCACTACTATTACCATCACTACCATCATCATCACCATCAGCACCACCATCACCACCACTACCATCATTATCATCATCATCATCACCATCAGCACCACCATCACCACCATCAGCACCACTATCACCATCATCATCATCACTATCACCACCATCAGCACCACCACCACCATCACCATCACCATCAGCACTATAAGCTCTATACCAGCTTCAAGCAAAGATTTTGGATGGAAAACACAGAGATAAGCTTGGAGCACACGTGGAGAGCAGCCAGCTTCACACAAAGGCAGGGAATCACAGGTCAGTGAGCAATGGCCTTGTCCCAAGGAGGTTCCATTCCAGCACCAGAGGTCTGAAGCCATTCAGGAGTGTCTTGGGTGAGCAGCTGTTTGCTAGGGAGGCACTGTCACGGCCACCATAACTTCAGCCTCACTGGAGACTCAGTAGCAAGGCAGAACAGAGGACAGATGAAGGGAAGAAGGGAACATTCCTGGACAGCTCCCTGCTGAGGGTTTTGTGGCCTCCCTACGGTATAACTCCCATGTGGTGGTTTGAACGAGAATGGCCCACATAGGCTCATATATTTGAATGTTGGTCACCAGAGAGTGGCACTATATTATTAGAAGGACTAGGAGGTGTGGCCTTGTCGGAGGAAGTGTGGCACTGGGGGTGGACTTTGGGGTTTCAAAAGCCCAACCCAGGCCCAGTCTCTCTCTCTCTGGGAATCAGGATGCAGCTCTCAGATACTTCTCCAGCACCAGGCCTGCATGCTGCCATGCTCCCTGCCGTGATGACAATGGACTAAGCCTCTGAAACTGTTAGCAAGTCCCCAATTAAATGCTTTTTTTTAAAAAAAAAAAAAAATACAAGTTGCCTTGGTCATGGTGTCTTTTCACAGGACTAGAACAGTGACCAAGACATTGCACAGTGAGCAGGTGATCATTGCTTCTACTCCATACATAAAGGCCCTGAGGCACGGCAAAACCCAATAGGGTACCAGTGAGGCCAGGGGACTAGGCACATAATTTGTGCCCCAGGATCCCTGCAGCCTTACCCAAGCCCCAGGGATCACAGGGCAGGAACGGATAGCTACTCTGGCCTTCTTGATCCCCTGCAGCAGGCCCCTCTTAGGCCAAGCCTTGTTCCTTGGGCTGGCTGAGGGTTGAGGCTCAGATGTAGGCTCCACCCACGGGAGTAGCTGAATAGCTGGGGAAGAGGCCAGGCCCCTAAGTCTGTCACCACACCAGCAATGTGAGAATCATGCTGGGCCAGCACCACCTCTCCAGGACCCAGCACTGCCTCTAGCCTGGAATCCCCACTGGGGTGTCCCTAGCGAGGTCTGGGCTGGCGCTAGTGTCCTGTCTCCCCAGAAGTTAGCCTAGGGTCTGACACCCAAGATGGGTGCAGCCAGCCTGTATGTCTGGCCTGGGTCACTGTGATTCAGGTGAGGAGCTGGAAAAGGTGAGTCACAGTTCAACACAGGTGCGTCCTGGAGCCACAGAACCTCCCTGGCTTGGCCTGACTGTTTCGTCCCTGCTCTGCGCAGAGAATGCTGTGTCTGTAGCGAAGGATAGTCCGGTAGCTAGGCTGTGCCTGACACACACCTGGAGCTGTGTGTCCTGCCCTCTCTACAGTCATCTCAGCAGGTTTGTGTCCTGCACAGCCTGCCACACTTTCCAGGAGACCGGAACTCAGGCAGCATCAGCTGCTGCTCCTTCATCACCAGGGACCACTGTTCTCTCTGCTCTGCCCAACCATCACCACATAGGAGACTCAGTGAGCCAGATACAGACACTGTCCACTCCCCTCCAGAATGACAGTGACTGAGGAGCATGCCCCATGGAGAGTAGGGAGGAGAGAAACATCCAGAGAGAGGGACTCTACTCTTAGTACATGGGAAGCCCAGGGCAGCTCCTGCTTGATGGTTCGGGACCCGCCAGCTGACATGCGCCATCTCAGCAGAACCCTGAACCCGCTGCCCCCGAAAAGGTGACCAGCAGCCATCACACATGTGGAAAAGGCACCAGTGCAGACACCAAAGGAAGTCATTCAAGAAGCGGCAGATGGAGGGTCACGAACAGCCAGAAATTAGGGGGAAATTCTAATCAGTGCACCCAGGGATAGAAGTGGATTTCAAACAAGAGCAGGGTGCTGTGACCAAGGAGTCACCAGAGAACAAGAAAGAGTGTCTAGAAATTAAAAATAGAATTGCTAAAATTAAAAGAATCAATAGAAGGGTTGGAAAACAAGGTCAAGAAAATCTTCCAGAAAGAAAAACAAAAAGAAAAACTGAATGAGATTCAGTGGGAAAATATAGGTCGAATGTGTTTTAGGGCAATTCTAGGAAGGGAAACCAGCAAATGGAGGAGAAAAAAGTTACCCAAGAAATAATACCAGAAAATTTCCTAGAGCCAAGGACCTGGACTTTCACCGGGCATTTACAGCAAACTTCAGGCTCCTGGGGACTCAGGGAAGCTTGAGTCCAGGAGGAAAAGCCGGTCACAAGTAATGCAAGGTGGCCCCAGAGCTCCCCAGAGCACCCTGGTGCCAGGCAACTGCAATGCTGCAAGAGTCCGAAGCAACGCTTTTCAAACACGGAACTCTGGCCCCAGCCAGAATTGGACACATTTGCGAACATGCTTCCCATGAAAGAAGAAAGTCATGGAGCCGCAGGGCAAGGGCCTAGGATGGGACCCCAGGGGACGCGGGGGGGGGGGGGGGGATGAAAGACCCAATGAAGAGCTCGCTCTCTTAGATGGGGCAAGAGGAGAAACAAAAACCAAGTCAACTGCACCTGAGGAACAAAGAAGTACACGCCAAAGAGAAGAGGAAGTGCATCTTCCTGATCAGAGTCAAACATGGGTTAGGAAGAAGAGCTGGAGGGGCATAGAGCACAGGGCGTGCCATTCACTGGTGCAGGCCAAGGGTGGCCGAGAATGTACCTGGGTCTCTGATCCACTCTACATTCTCTGTTAATTCAGACGCTTGCAGGGATGCTCACAAGTTCACCTCTGCAGCCTCTCCTTCAGCCAACCCAGAGGTCCCTCCACATCCACTGTGCTCTGGTTCTATCACCGTGACCAACCCCCACACAGACACTTCTTGCTGTCACAGTGCTACCTCCCTGTTCGGGCTTTGGTCTCCATCTCAGGCTGTTGTGGGGAGTGGGGAGGTAGTTGAAAGTCAGCAAGGGCCATCTTGTATTGGAAGTAGGACTACAGCCACTAGGCCTCAGCCCGAGCCTCAGCTTCTCTATTTTCCCAATCCTAAACCTGCAACAAAGCCCACAGCACACAGACAGGGGCAATGTGAATAAGTAATTGCTCTTTTATTAACGAGTGATAAATTATTCCTATATGATTGTGTGTGATAACGCTTGCTTATTTGAAATCAATTTGGAATGGAAATTGTTGGCGGCTTCTCACCTGCGCGGGTGGAAGCCAGGCACTCTTGCCTCCTACAGAAAAGGAGGTCACTGTATTTTGGCTACATCCTGATGCTGCTGCATTTAGGGTGCTGTGTCAGGCATCAGGCGGAAGGGTAGTGGCCCTGGGGCTGTGAAGCCAGGGAGACCGGGTACCTCTAACCTCACTTCTGGGCAGCACCTCTCTCCAGGGTGCTACATAGGTCAGCTCAGACTCGCAGGGTGGCTTTCCTGAGGCCCACATCTGCAGCTCTAAAAAGTGCAAAGCTCTGCTGGTGAAGTGCAAATGTGAGGACCCGAGGTAGGACCCCCAGCACCCACAGAATAGCCAGACATGGTAGTGTGAACCTGCAATTCCAGTACTGGGAAGACAGGGACTGGAGGGCCCCTGGAGCTCACTGGCCAGCAAGTCTAGACAAATTAGCACGTTCTAGGTTTGTTGAGACCCTGTCTAAAAAGTAAGGTGAAAAGATCCCCATAACTAGTCCAGGACCCAGACTCCCTTTGGGCTGAGGAAGGACCAGGTTGGGAGAGTCCCCTCCCCAACTGGCCCTAAGCCCTACTGGGGACCACTCCAGTGACCATGGCCAGCAGTGCCAGGGGCCATTCCCAGATCTAGCTGTATACATCTCTCCCATATAATCCTTGGGGATCTGGGAGCCCTAACTGCCGCCTCACACAGGTCACACCCAGTGCCCACTGTCCAGCTCCGGCACTGCCTGGGCCACTTACAGCTCTCATTATTAAGCCTCAAAAACCACTTACCTTTTTCCTGGTCATAGTCCTAATGATTCCACAAAACACGGCTCCATTCTGTTCCCTCCCAGGAGCACGATGCTAGAGGGTCGGAGGGCTCAGCCTCTGACGCTCCTCTTCCAACACAGGGAGGCCCCGAAACATCTCCTACTTTAGCACCTCTTCTTGGGGATGCATATTTACAACTCAGCATCCAACAAGCCAACCACATCTTCCCTCCACCCGGGCCCCACCCACTCCTTAGCTGTTTTGGGGGTGGCTGCAGCAGGCACCAAGTGATCATGACTTGGCCAGTAGGTGTCAGGGGGTTAGTCCCAGTTCTGGCTGCACTCATCTTTCCCATGTGACTGTTGAGGATTTGGAAGGCAGCGGTGAGACTCGGTCACCCTTAAGTACAGCTACACGGGCCAGCTCAGTCATCACTGATGCCTCCTGAGCCTGGGTTTCTTATCTGCGAGGCAGGAGAGCTGGTCCCAACCTTCCATCCAATGCCAAGGTTCCCACTTGGCCGCACAGGCTGGCACAGAGACTGGACAGAGACCTAGCTAGCCTCTGTGCACCTTGTTTCTGTCCCTGGGCCCTGGGGGCACCACGGAGGTAGAACCATGGCTGTGACAGGCGAACGGCAGGAACGCTATATATGTTTGGCACATGCGACCACATGCTCACTCTAGCAAGTGGCAGACTTTGGGTAGCTGTAGAGATGGCATCCCCCAAGGATGGCCAGGGCTGGAGGGGTACTGATCATCTCCTGACTGGGGGAGGCTTGTGCACCCAAGTGCTGAGGTTCTGAGTGGCCCTCACAAGTGGCTTCCCTTATGTGATGGACAGATGTTTGTATTGTCCCTCCCACCACTGCTTTTTTTTGGAGATATTGTCTTGCACTGCTGGACAAGTTAGTCTAGAATTTACTGTGTACCCCAGGCTGGCCTCAAACTCATGGAGAGTCCCTGCCTCAGCCTTCCAAGTAGTAGGATTACAATATGAGCTACAGTGCTCAGCTTCCCCCAAAAACATATGCTGAAGTCCCAACCCCCAATGTGACTTATTATTTGTTTGTTTCTCTATTTATTTTGAGAGCACCAGAGGCCTAGGATCTCGGACGTTTTGTGTTGGGCTTCGGGGAGGGAACAGAATGGAGCCATGTTTTGTGGAATCATTAGGACCATGATCAGGAAAAAAGTAAGTGGTTTTTGAGATTTGGTAGTGAGAGCTATGAGAGGCCTGAGCTGGGCACTGGGTGTGACCTGTATGAGGTGACATCCTAGAATAGTCTGGGTCCCTTTATTTTATTTTCCTTTTTGAAATGTTTATGTTTATGGGTATTTTACCTACATGTATGTCTGTGTACCACGTGGATGTAGTGCCCCTAGAGGCTGGAAGAGGGCGTCAGATCTCCTGGGACCAGAGTTACAAATGGTTATAAGATGCCATGCGGGTGGGAACCCAAATGTGGGTCCTCTGGAAGGGCAGCCCGTGAGCATCTTTCCAGCCCCAGCCTGGAACTCCTTCTGCCTTGGTCAAATGCTGATGCTTTAGGAGTGTAACCAGTGTAACCTACCCGATATGATGGTATTTGAAGGGGTTAGTGGGGAGGTGGCTAGGATTGACACCTCAAGATAAGGTCTGAAGGGTGAGGCATTGAGATGGATCAGTGGCCTAGCAGAGACTCCAGAGAGGCCATTTCCTACAGCAAGAAAACCATCTGCCCGCCAGAAACAAGTAGCTCACTGGAATCTGACTGCGTTGACACTGATCTTGGAGTCCTAGCCTCTAGAACTGAGAAAATTAATTTCTCCCATTTGTGATGCCCAGTTCACGGTATTTTGCTACGGCAGTATGAGATAATACAACCTCCTTCTCAAAACTTTGGAGTTTCTTTTCAGGTTTTCAGCCATGAGTATAATCTGGTAAAATCCAAAATCTGGCGTGTTTCTGTTTGGGCTGTCCTGAGGTCCCTGCACACCACAGTCAATCTTGTAGGGCAGCCCTGCGTTTATCAGGGTTTGGGAGTCCTGGGTCCACTTGTGTATGTGTGTGGGGGAAGGGGCAGGCTGAGGTGGGGTCCCCAACCTCTAAGTTTATTCTTTCATCTGGAAATAGAGGTCAGGAAACCTACCTGGTTCATACAGGCAGGGCAGGTGCACTGTGACTGCATAAGAGATGCCCAGCTCACAAGCTCAGAACTGCCAGAGGCACTTGGCCTCTCTCTGAGGAACTGTCCTCACCCTTTGGAGGCAAAGCCCAGTCCTGCCCTTTCCTCACCTCCTGCAGGCCTTTGTTCAAGCAACTCCTCCTTGGGCAAGCCTACCTTGTCCCCAGGCCCATGGCCTCAAGGAGGCTCTTCTCGCCTGAACTCCACCCACCTCTTTAAGGAGGCTGGATCCGATCCGCCCTCCGGACACTCCTGGCCTTGTTCCCGCCCACCTTCAGACCTACAAGGCTTCTGTGGAGCCCTCTGGAGTCAGTGCCCACAAGCTCTATCCATGGGGCACTAGGGTCCTGGACATCCTGACCACAGCAGGTCTCCACGTCAGATGTTCCCAGGCAAGGCAAGGACAGTGAACATCCACAACCCGGCCAGAACTGAGGCCCTGGGCTGAGAGCCTCTCCCTCTCTATCTGCCACCTCAGAACCACAGGTAGCAAATCCTGCCCTCCCAAGGGCTGCTGTCACAGCTGATAAAGATGGTCCTATGACCTAAGGGTCTGGAGATCCCTGGGAATTCATCTCCTGAGGCTTTGGGTCTTGGTAGCTGTCTTGGGGTGGGGAGTGTTTAGCCAGAGGGGGACCAGGCTGGTTGTGGAGATGCTGGGACCGGGGACTGCCCCTGGAGTTGCTGGCTGTGACTGAGGCCCTATGGGATGAGTGGGAACGGAGTAGTCTTCAGTGTTAGGAAGGGCTCGGAAGAGGTCTGATGCCCCCCACCCACCCACCCAGCCACCCACCCAGCCACCTCGTAGCCAGGCCGTGGCTCTGGCAGCAGGTGAAGAATGGAGCGTATTAGGGCCACCATCTGTCTCGGCTGTGATGGGCTCTCTCTACTGACATCCAGGAGCTATGTAGATGGAATATCTTTATGGGAAGAGTTTTTCTTTTGCCAATTTTCGAACAGGAAGCCAGACACTTGTCACACCTGTCCTCGTGTCAGCCTCTGCCTGACATAAATTGGGGCCGAGGCAGGGAGATGAAAGACAGCCTGGACACGGCCCAGTGTGCAGAGACCACGTGTCAGGCCACAGAACACACAGCCACGAGGGTGTCCTGCTGGGGCTCGGTGCAGTGAGTTCCTCCTGCCTCCTCCCTTCCCCTGCCCAAAGGCCAGCCTGCTCTGGCACCCCTGCCTCCCACAGAGCAGGGAGATGCTCTGACACAGCCAGCCCCCCTCCCCGGCCCAGGCTCCAGTTCCACTGGAGGGGAGGACCCCACACAGAGGGCAGGCCTCAGGGCCCCCGTCCGCTCTGTTGGCACCCACACTACACCTTTCTCTCTTTGAGATTTGAGGACATCTCTTTGGAACCTGGGACGGCTTGGGGAGAAAAGATGTTACAAAGATCTCCAGGTCTCCATGGCCCAGCACAGGGCTGGCCTGTAACTGGTGACGCCAGAAGACTTCGGTGAGAGAAAGGAGGGAAAGGCCAATGCCACCGGAGGCCTTCCTGCAACGGGAGCCACCCAGAGCCCCGCCTCCATGTGGGCAGCCCACGGCCCATCAGCTTTACCAAGGGCAGGGCCCTCCCAGAGGCACACCCAGGACCACAGCTGTCACGGACATGCAGGTAGGCAAGGGGCAGTCCCAGCGGGGAACACCAACAGTCCTGCTACTTCCTCAGACAGTGGTGAAAGTCTGTGTCTACAGCCCTCAAGGAGACCTGAGAGATCAGCTCTGCCAGGCTCCCAAGCCACCATCATGGGTGCGGGGTGGGCACCAGCCACTCTGTACTGTCTGAGGATGGGGCACATCTCGGCTAGGGCAGGTGAAGAGTGAGAGGCTATCGGGGGGCACGCAGAGCCCCGTGAAAGGGAGCCACTGGGCAGGGCAGTGTGGAGGCAGAAGCGGTCACCAGCACTGCAAGTGGAGGTTCTGGGTGACCTTGGGTTGGCCTGTAACCCTCTCTGGACCGCTCTTCTGGAGGCTGGCCAGTCTCAGACAGCAGCTACCCTGTCTTTCGGTGGAATTCTGTTTCCAGCCACAGTTTTGGGGTCCACTGCCAGGACTTCTTCCAAGGACCGAGTAGGCACACAAGCAGCCCCTCTCACGGGCTGCCAGCTGAGTGGAGATAGGAAAGTCTCCAGATAAAGGAGATGCTACTCCTGGGTCAGCCAGGCTCTTGTGGCCAGGCTCCTGCCCAGCGGCAGAGCTGTGCCTCACGTTTCTCAAAGGTATGAAGACACCCCCCACCCCGATCCCTGACAGAGATCCTAGCTTCTCTCTGCATTCCCCAGCTGCTGCTGGGCCTGCCTGGGGCGTGTGTGTACCCCACCCTCACCCCACCATGCCCTCTCTTCCCAGTGACCATGAACTAGAGCATCACTCCCCCAAGACAACTGGTGAGGACACTCTTGGCAGACAAGGGGGGAGGGTTGTGGGGGGTTGCTCCAGACATGGGCTCTTCCTGCACCCTCAGTGCTATGCACAGGCTTGTGATCAGGAGCTCACAGGGCGCACACACCTATTCCCACTTTCTGTTTAGGGGTGGGGCAAGGGTAGGTGGGACTGACCAAGAGTCGGAGGAAGTACAGGAATTGGGGGCTCTGTCTCCCACCAAGGGCTCCAAAGCTATCACCAACCTGTTTCCACAGCCAGTACCTCAGTCTATGCGGGAGGTACAGGAGTGTGGCAGCCTGCTGGGAGGAGTCCCATCACCCGGATGACCAGGAACTGGCCAGCATGGCCAAATCAAACTCCCTGTAGCCAGCTGGCTTTCATCAGCATGTCCACCTTCACACTATCCGCATGCCAACAGGGAGGCTCAGGAGCCAGCATCCGCCTTTGGGTTCTGGAGCCTTCACCTGCAGCCATCTTGGCCAACCAGGCTGCCCTTGACTGCCAGTCCTGAGAGCCACCAGCTTGGGTATTTCCCAGCAGACATAGGGGCAAGCAGGTGGCTGGGAGGAATGTTCCTCTTTGCTGACACCCAGCAGCCTACTGGACCTCCCTCTGCAGCTCTTTGCTGGGGTGACTGCCCACTGCTCATGCCCCCCAAACCCTCATGCCAGGGTGGGCTGCTTGGAGGATGTGGAGGTGGGGAGGCAGGCACCTGGAACCCCGGTGACAAGAAGGTCCCCATCAAAGGGCGGAAGAGACAGTTCCCACACAAGATCTTCTGGCCCACCCTGAGAGCAAATGAGTTTTAGGGGCAGCTAGCAGAGACTTTAGGTAGGCTCAGAGGGCACACGGCAAGCAGAGAGCCCGGGGTGGAATGGAGAGCATCTGTGCCTACAGGCCGGGGGGGGGGGGGGGGGGGGCTCTGAGATGGACTTGCAGTGAGGGCTAGAAGGGAAATAAGGCAAGAGGTCAGACTGGACACTGGCCTTGTCTTTGGGGAGGAGGAGGAGGAGGAGGAGGAGGAGGAGGAGGAGGAGGAGGCACAGACTCTGGGCTCGGATGTTGGGTGCAGAGGATGTGACACCATCTGGCTGAGTCTGGGCAACTGTGGTATCAGTTGGGGGGCATCTGGGTATCAGCAAAGATGAGTGGCCTCACTGGTGTGAGTAAGTGCCTGGGTGCCTGTTCACCCCTGCACCCCCTAGGAGATGCTCAAGCCGGTGACCCTAAGGGGTAGCCTATCTGGCTAAGATGGGTGCGGGCTGAGTGGTCTTGGGCACTACAGACCTCTAATTGGCCGCACTAGCCTGGTACTTGGCATGGAGGCAGGTTTTGTGCACTAACTACTGCCAGGCCAGGTTGAGCTGGACACGGGGTGGGGACGGGGCACATAAGGGTAGGGGCTGTGATTCCCAGACGCCGTCACCTCTTTTCTGCTTTCCATCCATGTTTCAGTCTTTCTTGTGTAGCTAGTGTGCAGGGCCTGCTCCTGGCCCAGCTGCTGAGTGATGCCACCGCCATCTCCCCCAGAGAACAGCACTCCTAGTATTGAGGAGGACTCTGTGTTTTCCTGGTCCTCGGGGCACCAAGCTGGAAGGACCACTCTGGTAAACAGCCACAGACTACAGATGACACCTAAGTGACCAGCAGAGTGGTGAGGCCCAAGGTGACACAGCAAGGCAGCACCGCAGGAGCTGATCCTAAGGCTGCCGGACTCGGAGGAAGGGGAACTCCTGGCAGGTTCCCAAGCTGGCCCCATCTGGGCCCTGGCAGGAGGGTGAATAAAGCCAGCGTCCTAACAAGGTCACAACCGTTGGGACAAATCGAGGACACAGTGTAGGGGATTGCAGGCAGGTCAGGGACAATCTGAGAGGGCTCCCAGGAGGCAGTGAGCCTAGAGCCTCACTCTGGTCTGAGACCCTGGGCACTCTAACATGTTCAGCCCCACCCCCTACCTCAGTGGGCCCCTCACCCAGCTCCAGCTTTTGCCTGACATTTCCCGTGACATTTGCTGCAAAGAAATAGAGTCATAAATTCAAAGGTTAAATTTGCACATTGCCTTACAATGCCAGGAGAAACCTGTCCTTCCATCCACCAGGTGCCCCAGGGGTGTAGCTTGGGGTGTGGGACGTCCTACCCACCCCCTGGTCCCTCCACCCACGCAAGCATCACCCAACAGCATTTCCCAAAATGGCTTCTTGAATACGCCAGACCATGAAGTTCGTTGCATAGTTTGCCTGTTGGAGATGCCTGCCCCATCTGAAACCAAGGCCCTGAGATGTCCTGTGGGAAAGGCGCTGCCCGAGCGCTTAACCCAGCCTACCCCAGATTCAACCATCAAACCTTTGTGTGAAATCCAATCACATCCCACGGAACTCCAATTCCCAGGAGGGCCGAAGAGCACTCTTGGGCAAGCTGCTCCCGGACACCTCTACATCCCACCTCTGCCAACCTCCACGTGCCAGTGTGCTGAATGGGGCTTACTGCCTGCCAAGCCCACCTGGATCAACTTAGGGAGGCTGACTCCTGCCTGCTCAGCACCTCCCTAAAGACACCTGGGAAGGTGTGCCAACAGCCCCTGCTTCTTGACTCCATTTGCTGGGTCTAGCAGCCCTGGGGGAAGATTATGGGGGTGCATGGGAACACCCCAACCACCTCAGCCTCCAACCTTCCACAGCACACAAAGTACTAGGAGCTATGTGAACAGGGCTGGAGAGAGGTGGCCCCCAAAGAGTCCGCTGAAGACATGGCCACCCTTACAGCCAGAATCCTGGTATACTTACCATGTCATCCACTTGACATGTGTAAAAAGACTTAGATGGTTGGGGGTGGGGCGGGGCAGATTAGGCCCTGGCTGGAAGTTGGCCCAAGTGTGTAGGAAGGGGCACACGTCCTGGCCCTGATGAGGACTTGTCAGGATGTATATGGCAAGTTGAATGGCTGAAGGCAATGCAAAGGGCCAAGACATGTTTAAATGAGTACATTTTGGTGCATTCTCAGGAAGGGATTCCACACTCACCATTTAAGCATGATTCACAAGAATAGTTCCCGATGTGCAAAGTGTTTAAAATACAGTGACAAAAGAAGACTCTGCAGTACCAAACACCGGGTGTGATGGGACCCAGCCAGGCCCACGCACTCTGGGGACAGGCAGGGAGATGGGGGCATGTCCCCCACACTCACTGCTGGGCTCCCACTGATGGCTGTGTGGTCACCTGTCCCTTCCCACACTTAACCCTGGAATCCATGAGGATTCAGCCCCTTCACTGTCTGATCAGAGCAGGATCTGCAGGCCACAAATGAGCAAGTGGGTGATGGAGGGTGGTGAGCAAATGCAGCATCTGGGGTTTGGCCACGTGGACGGCACAGGTGACCTTGGCTGCGTGTAGCCAGGCCACAGGGCAGGTATACTGAAGGGTGCAAAGCGTGCCAGGCCCTGAAGAGACAGGCAGAGCAGCCACGCTGGGCTCTTAGGGGTCTGAGGGTCGAGGCCCTGGCTGGCTGCTGAGAGCCAGGCAGCCCTGCCCGGGGTTGAAAGTCAGGGCTCACAGAATGGGGGGAGCAGCATAAGCTTCATGACCAGGTACAGTGCAATGCCAGGAGCCTTGGTAACTCTGACAGGGTCAGACCCTCTCATGTACTTCTCCCACAGTACACACACACCCCAGTCTTCCTTCTCCTGACCCCTTTCACGGATGCACGGCCTGAGGCTCCTGGGAGACTTTCTAGGCCACAGCCCCCAGAAGGGCTCCCTCTGCCTCCTTTGCCAGCTGGACCCCTCCCCTCCCAAGGAGGGCATGGTACCAGGAGGCTGGCAAAAAAAAAAAAAAAAAAAAAAAAAAAAGGTGCTAGAAGCCAGGCCTGGATGGCATGATCCCACAAACCCGACCCCTCCCAGACAACTTACCACTTGGAACAAACAGCAGCAAGCCTGTGCTTCTTCACAGCCAACGAGCCAGCCTGAGCCCTCCAAGACTGCAGGCTAAGACCGCCTTCCAGGGCCCTGGGCAGCCTCGGGGTTCTCCACTTCCTGTTAGATGACCCACCCCCAGCATGGCTCTTACTCTGTCACCACAGGTCAGGCCTGCCTGAAGGAAACAGGGCAGAGCCACAGGCTCACCATCATCACGCTCCCTGCTCACAACCTCCTTCAATATCCCAACATATCTTCCAGAAGGAGGGAGGGGCTTAAATTGGCAGCAGTCCCAGGAAAACCCCTGTTGACTAGGAGTTGAAAAATCGTATTTGGGGAATTTTAAAGCAGAAATGCTGGGGGCCCAAACTCCTAGGAAAGCAAGGTTTGGTGGCTGAGGCCAGCATTTCCAGTACTTGGGAAGCTGAGGTGACTCCAAGTTTAAGGCCAGCCTAGGTCCTATGGTTGCACCTGCCTCAAAGCAAAACAACAATAAAAACTCCTTGGAACAGGGCATGGTGGCACATGCCATTATCCCAGCACTCGGTGGGTCTCTGAGACCAACGCCATCCTGTTCTACATAGAGACCAGGCCAGCCAGGGCCACAGTGAGACCCTGTCTCAATCCAGGACAGGCCCCATGCCCAGGAGTAACGGATCAGCACAAAATGGACCTTTTCTTGAGCTCTTTTTGTATTTTTTTTTTTTTTTTTTTTTTTTTTTTTTTGGTTTTTCAAGACAGGGTTTCTCTATGTAGCTTTGCGCCTTTCCTGGAACTCGCTTTGGAGACCAGGCTGGCCTCGAACTCACAGAGATCCGCCTGGCTCTGCCTCCCGAGTGCTGGGATTAAAGGCGTGCGCCACCACCGCCCGGCTCTTTTTGTATTTTTTGTCTTACTGATTTTTTTCTTTCCTTTGTCTGTTTTGATTTTCATTTTTTTTGGTTTTTGTTGTTTTTCTTGGGTTTTGTTTTATTTTGCTTGAAAAAGAGAGAACATGAAGTTGGGTTGGTAGGGAGGTGGGGAGGATCTGGGAGGATTAGGGAAGGGGAAAGAATATAATAAAATATGTAGTGTAAAAAAAATTAAAACAAGCAAACAAAGCCACCTCCTTGGGAAATGTGGACAGACCCCACTGGGCATCAGCTCGGAAATGCCCCCAACAACCTCAGATTACAGCAGCTGAGACAGGGGGAAAGCTCTTTAAGAAGACACACTGTCAGGCCTGGTGAGCTCCCCTTTGCCAGGAGGGATCTGGTGCAGACCACACCTGGCTGAGGTCCCACCATGGGAGCACGCCTTCCTCCCCTGGGCTGGCGTAGGACAAGAGAGACGGGAAGACAGGTCTGGGCATAACGAAGGGAGTGGCCAGCTGTTACCCACCTGAGCTAGGTGGGCACTACAGAGCAGTGCACCAGAAGGTCACCAGGATGGAACGGCCAATGTGCTAAAGGCAGGGCCTCCCGGAGGCCATGCTGGGTCAGATGTCCCAGTTGGCAGAGCTGCAGAGGCAGCCAAGTGTGCCCAGGCTCACACTCCTCTACTGTGGTGCTGACCTCAAGCTGGGAAAAGAATCTTCCCTGCCAGGTAGATTCCAGTCCACCACAGGCCACCACTGCCCCCACCCTGGCCGGTGGGAGAGCGGCTGGAAGACTCTGAACCTCACAGCTTGGGCTGGGGATACTGAACAAAACCCCTAAACACCTTCCCGTTGCGTTTGTTCCAGATTTGAGCAGGGTAGAGCCACAGCCCTCCTAGGTACACAGGGGCACCCACACCCAGAAGCAAACTGAAATATGAAGATGTGCTTACAGGCACACGTGGTCATGCACACAATCACATATGTGCAGATACATACCATGTTACACACATGTACTTGCACACACAGACCCAAGCACTGTGAAGGAGACTCCAGGTCTTGCCCCTCTGTCTGTGGGTCCAGCTGCCCAGAGCCTCCCTACTCAAAACCGGAGCATACCTACCTGTGAGTGGGTCCTGCTAAGGGGCCCCAGCATGAGCTAAGCATGAAGATCACAGCAGGCAGACTGCGTAAATGCATGTGTGTGGTCATAGGTATGTAGGCAGGAGTGAGGACGGCGATATGTACCCTTAGAGTCCGTGTGTGTACCCACAGTGTTTACGCATGTGCACACTAGGGCAGATTTGGTGTAAGTGTGCACTGGAGGTGTGCAAGACTATATGTAGCCCACATAGACACGTGCAAAGAAACGTGTGTGCAGCCTGCGGCACCATGGACATCAGCAGGGTAGATAGGGTGGGCACCTGGGGAAGGCAATGTGTTCACTCCAGAGTCTCCAGGTAAGGCATGCCCAACCTACACGAAGCCCATCCTCCCTTGCCCCTACTGCGGGGACTTCGCACCCGGATGGGAGGAGGGATCCCACAGGGCTGCCAGGGAGGGGGTGCTTCGAGCACCAACGCCCCTCAATGGAGCCTCTCACTCTCAGGAGCCCTCCCGATCTCAGAGGAGGAGGCATTGCTTTGTGTATGTGTGTGTGTGTCCTCGCTACCTGCCCCAGGGACAGCGCTGGGATTGTCCTGTCCTCCACGCCCTCTGCCGCCGCCGACACCCCTATTCATCCCTATTTCGTTTGACCCCAAAGAAGCAGCTTCGGAGCTGAGTCCGCCGGGCAGGCGAGATACCCCATCTCGGTCCAGTGTCCACGTTTCTGCAAACCCCGCTTATTAACCCATTCGCCGCCTGTGCGCTCGCAGGTGGGACCCCGCCCTTCCAGCCCGCAGCCTCCACCCGGCCCTGGTCCAACATCTGGAACCTCCGACCCGCCATCCCTGGCCCCGCCGTCGCCGTCAACTTTCCCGCAAAGCCGCAACTTTTGCGGCTGCCGCGGGCTCCGCCCTCTCGGGGCCCAGCAGCTAGCGGCCAGCGCGCGGCGTGGCACTGCGGTGGCCCTCGGGAGCGCCGGGCGACCGGTCCCCGGCAACGGCAGCGCGGGCCGTGCCCTCGCGCTCCGCCGCCCCGCTGCAGCCCGGCTCTGGAGCGGCGCAGACACTCACCTCCGGAGGACGCCCTCTTCATCTTCGGGGTCGAGCGGGGCGCGTCGGGCACTGGAAGCGGCTTCGGGGCGGGCGCCCGTCTGCGCGCGGCCGGGTCCGCATCCAGGCGCCGCCGCTCCGGCCAGGTCCCGGCCCGGCCGCGGGACGAGGCTCGGGCGCTCCGCTCTACCGGGCCGGGCTGGGCTCGCGGGCTGCGGGCGCGCAGGGCGAGGGCGGCGGCGTGGACTGGCGGGGCGCTCGCAGCACGGGCCGGGAGAGGATGAATGTTTTATGGGATCATGTGGTTTGACGCGCGGAATCCGCCGGGTCTCCCCGCCGGCCCGGGCGGGGCGGGGCCGGGGCGGGGCCTGGCGCCGGGCGGGGCGCTCACCTGGGCGCGCGGCGCGGGCGCGAACCGGTGGGTACCGGGTGCAGGACCAGCCGGCGGGCGGCGGGAGGGGAGACGACGGTGCCTGGCGCGCGGTCCAGGTGGCAGGAGGCGCTCAGCCACTCGGTGCACGGGCCACGCGCGGCCCCAGACAAAGGCGGCGCATTCCTGAAGAGGCGGCGGCCCCTGCAGGCGACCGCAGGCACCGCGTCCCGGAACGGGCCGTGGGCGCGGGCTCGAGGGCGTGGCGGCCCAGCCTGGCCGAGTCCCGAAGGGAGTGCTGGGCATCGGAGGGGCGCAGCAGGCCTTTGTGTGGCCCGCCTCCTGCTTGCCCCTTAAATCCCTTTGCTTGAGAACTGTCCTCGGCGACTGGTAAGAAAACTGAGAGACAGGCTTAACAGTGCAGTGGTGCTCCCCTCCCCGGTTGTGAAGCCCTCTCTACCCCCCTATCCCAGGAGGGCACTCTGGCCTTGTCTTCCCCTGCCTCGGCACAGGTTCCCATCTCTTTCCTTTTTGCGATGGAGATTATAGAGTCCGAAGACTCCTTTGGACCCACCCTCCACCAAGCCAGACTAATAGAAAGCGCGCGCGCGCGCGCGCGCGCGCGCACACACACACACACACACACACACACACACACACACACACACACACACACACACACACGTCCCGTCTCCCACTCCTGCTTGGGTGCTCTACCTGGAGTTCCTAAGTGCATTCTGGAAAACTTCAGCTGACTGCCAGGCCATTGTCTGTGTCTCTCCCGCACATGAGCCCCCCAGGGAGCGGGGTAGGGCTCATGGTCTGCCTGCCTCACTGGGGAAAGCCAACACCAAGTAGCATGGCATAGCCTTGGAGACCGCTGAAGTGGCTGCAGTGGCCTGGCCTTCTGACCAGACGTGGAGGTTACACTACTCAGGCCTTCCCTGGCTGGTGCTCTGTGTCCCCAACCACACCTTTCCCTGCCTTGTCCCAGTCTTGGATTTTCAGGTCACTGGAAAGTGGGTTCAATTTCCAGGCACCTGGGAGATGAGGTGGAGCCAGAATGGGCGTTCACAGCCACTTCTCCATTGCACACTGGTCAATGAGTGCCATCAGGCTGGCCCCTGAAGTGGCTCTGAATTCTCATCCCCCTCCCCACCACATGGGAGGTTTGTCACATGGACAGATGGATAACCCAAGGCCAACCTCAAAGAGCCAGCAGAAGGCCATGGCCTATCATTTAGGCCAACACCTTTCTTCCGGCCTCCTTGAATACAGCAGTCCCCAAACCAGAAACTGAGCTCTCCTCAGGCCGTGTGACATGGCTGAAAATCTGAGGACAAAGCTAGAGTACTGGGCTACAATTTTGGCACTAAGGCTTGGAGAAGGCATTTCTCTGCTGACTGCCCACTGGAGAGGTAGGGATTGAGACCCCCCTCCTTCCATTGCTGGGGCCTGGGATAGGTGTGGGAGAGGAAGGAAAGCCATTGCAACCACGGAGGCTTCTAGAGCCACAAGTCTCTCTAGATCAAAGCTGACTGTCCCTGGGTGCTCTGGGCTGGGGCCTGGACGCCCCCTGCCTGCTCACAGGTCTGTGTGGTGGGAGGAGGGCCAAGATTTGTAGTGTGAACTGGGTATCCATAGTCTGTGGGCATGTTTCTGTGGTCTGCATACCCATTCCGGTAAGGACTTTGGTGCTCCTCTCTAGAGGCTAAGGTGTAGGCCAGCTCTGAAGGGGATCCAGTATGGAGCAAAGTGAGCTGGGTGCTGACCAGTCTGCCTCCAGGAGGACATTGCTCTCTTCTGAGGCAGGGGATGTGGGAGGTTTAGAGAGGCATATTTATCAGGGTGTGGGCAGTTACCGGGCAATTCAAGGAACAGATCCCTTCACTGGTGGGCAGACACGGCACCCTCACACCCAGGGCCCCGAGGATGAGGGAGGGCAGCTGGCAGCTAGTGATGGGCTGGTGGAGGGCTTAGTAGGGGCTGAAGTCTGCTTAGGACACACGGACAGCCTTAGTTGACCCCTGGAGAAGAGTCAGAGGTCCAGCTGGAGAATCGGGCCACTTACTGTCCTGTTGATGAGGTCGACAAGGATTGATTTCTGGGAAGCTCCAGAGGGGTGCTAAGATGATGGGCCCATTTGGGCTGGATGATGTGCGTTCTCCCAGCCTCGTGCTCATGTGGCCTGGGGATCAGAAGATGATGTGGAGTCTGCAGACAGCTCTTCCCGAAGCCTTGGATATATCAGTCATTCCCTACCTGGGCTGGACTTGCAGGGCCAGACTGGAGGTCTGTCTGGATTGCCCCCTCACCCCCAGGGTTAGCTTGCTCCAGCACAGCCTCCTGCAGTGAGATCTGACCCTGCAGTGAGACCTGACCCTGCAGTGAGGCCTGACCCTGCAGTGCTCCGGCACTGCCTCTTGCAGTGAGACCTGACCCTGCAGTGAGGCCTGACCCTGCAGTGAGACCTGATCCTGCAGTGAGGCCTGACCCTGCAGTGAGACCTGATCCTGCAGTGAGGCCTGACCCTGCAGTGAGACCTGATCCTGCAGTGCTCCAGCACTTCTCACCTGCCTCTCCTGGCCCCAGACTCAGCTCAGTGATCTGTGTGTGGCATGAAATTGCCCTGTCTGGCTGTGTGACCTCAGCCCAGCTCTTTGCATGTAGATGAAGCAGAGGCTAATGCTTTGGGGTGTGGTCACATCACTGTTCCTTCTTTGTCTATCTCTCCTGTCCCCTGAGAGAACTGTGTGGGATCCTAGCAGGGATTACAGGGTGACTCAAACCTCCAGGTCCACTCAGAGTTCAGCATGGGGCCAGCCAGGGCTGACAGCCTTGGAAAGTGGTCACTGTGGCAAGGGCTTGGGCATCCTTCTAGGACACCCACACAGCCTCAGGCTGTTGGTGTTCTCTAGGAAGGGAGGAAGAACTAAAGGGACTTGGTTCTTGTTCTACATGCTCTGGGCCACTCTGGGACAGTGCAAGGAGGGACCAGGAAAGAAGCGAGAAGGTCAAGCTGTACGGCTGCACCTGCTGCCTAAGCATGCCAAGGCCACCAACCTGAGTGGGTGGCTGGCGATGAGATCTCACTGCCAGGGAGATGGGGGCCATCTGCTCTCACCACAGAAGGTGGCTTTATGCCCAAGGCCTGAGAGGACTCTGTTCCAGGCCTGCTAATGCATGGTGCTATTGGTCCTGTGATGGCAACACCAGTACCTATTTTTCCAGACAGGAAACAGTGTTTAGGTAGACGAACACTGTGACAGCCCCTTTTGGATCACCCACACCTCTGCTCCCTCAGGGGCTTCTGGCTGTCGTCCACCTTGGGTCCTGACCTCCTGCCATCATCAGCTCTGAACCTCTGAGGAACCCACCCTGAGTCCCTCTCCCCAACTTCGGTGCATATCAAGCCATAATTAATCAGCTTCCTCATCTCTTATTCATCAAAGGCACACACAGCAGCAACCGGGGCTGGTGCAGGGAAGGGGCCTGGCATGTCCCAGAATCCCACTGGGTCTGCCCATCTCCCAGCACTTCTGGACTTGGCTCTGAGCCAGGGCCTCCTACAGGGCACCATCCTGGGTTCTGCAGTGCTAAGCATACCTCCTGAAACATCATGTGTGCACCCCACCCCTGAGAGGTTTCTAGGGGATACTGGGTAGGGTATGTGCACTGCAGGGTCAGTTCTCAGTGGTCCCTGTGGCCCATCTTTAGGATGAGAGCCTGAGCAGGGAGAGAGGTGGAGCCTCAGGCCAGGCAGCCTCAGATACCAGTGCTGACACTTGGGCCCAAAGGTTGGGTCTGTCCCTTCTTCCATAAGAATTAGTGAGTTCCCATAAGGATTAGTGAGTTCCCAGAACTTCCAGACCTTAGGCGTGCTTGGGATACTGTGATAGTTGCTGTTGGACAGATTCCCGGGGTTGTCTCCTAGGGAATGCTGCTGAGCTGGTGATCTTGGAGTGGGCACAGCTAGCCCAATGGAGGGCTGGAGATGAATACTATGTCCCAGAGGGCCCAAAGTCTGGTATAGGGATAGGGCTCAGGGAAGCACAGTCCCAGGGCTATCCCAAGTCGTCACTGTGGCTCCTGGCCCCTCCTTGGCCACTGTGGGAAGTGGATTCTTTTCTAGAACCACTTATCTAGCAGTGATAGCCAAACTGGGAGCTTCTGTTCAGGCCAGGAGCCCAGAGTGCAGTCAAAACTGAGTTGGGGGCACTGTCTGAGTAGACTTATGAGCTCTGGATGAGGAAGGCACAGCTCTCTCATCCAGAGTAGCCATAGCTTGCCGCTGTGTGAGCCGGGGGTAGAAGGCATCTCAGAGCCCTTTCTAGGCCCTCAGTGAAGGGTTTCTGCTGGGCCAGCTCCACTCCTGACACTCTCAGTATAGCTCTCCCCAGCACTCCCACGGCCAAAGCACATGCCTGGGCCACTGCCACCCACAGAACATGAATATTTTATTTATTTTCCCGATGGGGACTCCATTAGTTAGCCTTAGAGTGCTCAACTGGGGACAAACATAGACTAGCTTGACTCAGTCTAGTGGTCCCATCTAACGGGCACTAAGAAGGCCCTTCATCATCTTTTCCTTATTGCCCTCAACATTTAGGCGTTTGGTACTTTGGGAGGTTAGTTCATACTTCTGCTGGATTTTGACTCTTCTTATCCCTTCAGGCTACAAAATCGAGGACCCTGCACCCAAGGGAGAAGGGTCTTGCTCTGGATTGCTCAGATAATACAGAACAAAGAATCTACCCATGGTGTGTGGTCAGCCGAAAACTCAAA